TTTCAGAAATCTCAGGAATGTTGGCGTGCATGCTATTGGGCCCTGAACGGTGCTGATTTTACACTGTTTTCAATGGGGCTTGAATTAGTGTACTGGACCCGGACAGCCCAAGCCAAGCATTTTGATGTTCCATACAATATTGTTGGTCTAAAACTAAGTGCTCATCAACGTGTACGCACACGTAAACGGTATATCGAGAGCTCTGTGTTTTTCATACACACGGGACAATTGTATGGTCGTGGCAGTATTTTAACCAACACCGCAATGTAGCATCTGCACTTTAGTGCCACGTGCAGCACGCGATCCGAATAGTACGACGTACACTGCCGGGACTAGTAGCGTTGTTTAGTCCCAAATCACTTAGTTGACAGGCCTCTGGCCAGTTTGGCAAAATGCCGAGAAAAGAACGGCTGCAGTGGGCCAAAGCCTTTAACACTCGGCTGCTGGTTCGGCACTAATCACGGACATGTTCAAGTAGCCTATAATGCGTATCCTACTTTTTCTTGGGCCTGAATGCAATATCGATATACCTCGTGCTGCACGTAAGGGGAAGGTTGCCGAATCACCGTTCGTATTTGTGGTCATGGGTAGACAATGAGTGACGAATTTCGAAAGTGGTTACTGGGCCTTTCGCAGTAATCGTAAGAGTGGATTATTCACTCTTTTACACTCTCAAAAACTTTCGGAATGGCATTAATGCACAGAACTTTCAGGTACGCTGATGACATTCACCCTAACACTCCTCAGTCCTCCAACAGGTGAAGGATTGAGGAGGGTTAGGGTTAATGCCCTTACGTTTGGCATTAGTGCCCATTTGGCATTCAGCCAGTGCGGTACCCTAAAATAAAATGAGGGCCTAACTTCAGTTCATGGATTTACGATAGGCCCTACTGAGGCGAGCTTTATCAACTCTCTCGGAAAATGCTAATTAAAATGTGGAAATTTCGATTTATGTTATGATGTGCATAGTTAGTTTTCGCATTATATTATTTCCCTCTAAATGTAATAATGTTTAACCCATTAATGACTGTTCCTACTTTGGTGGTTTTAAAGAAATTGCGTGAGAAGGCCAAAAAAATCTCCAGTGTCTGGTCAGGGGCTGGCTCCAAAAATTGTGCGGCAATGCGGTTTTTCTCATTCTTTACCCGAGATATGATGTACACGCATGCGCTTGTACCGTTACGTTCCATGTCGGACTGCCCCCCTCACTGTTTACTACTTAAAAGCGTTTTCAGCTTGTGGATGTACGCAGGACATAATGGTGCATTCCACCAAATCGTTGGATCTCTTCGCGCGAGCTCATCAATCTTTTGTGATTCCAAGGGTTTTTACAATAAGACATGCCATAATCAGGAGGGATCATGGAGATATTTCTATTGATCGCGAATTTGGGACTGGTAGTTTCAAGTTCGGGGTAAGTTCTTTCACAAAAAGCCCCGACCTGTGGGCCTATTTTAGATAGAGGCTCCTGAGCACATAGTGTTAGTTACTACTATTTGGGGGTAGCTTCGCGGAAAGGCGAATAAAAAAGATTGCGTAGCTAACCCCAATAAAATTGAAACGAAAAGTCAGCTTCTGACCATAATCTTGAATTTCCAGTGAGAAACCGGAGGCAAACCTCTTCCCGGGAGTCGACAGGTGGCGCTATTTCGGTCTGATTTTGAACTGTTTTCTATGGGCGCGTATTAATTTTGGTGTAGTGCTACCGTAAACACACTGACAAAAGGCACAATTTAAATATCTTCATAAATATAGTAGGATATTTAAATTATACAATACCAGAGGTTAGATCGCACAAGCTTCATGGTGGGAACCAACATGGCGCGGCAAGATCGTATCCATAGGAACGAGGTTGTTTGGTTCCCAGATGTAACAAAAAGTATGTCATCTGAATAATAGGGCCTGATTAAATGTATGGGGGCCCAAAGGAACTCCTTTTTTGTACATAATACTCACCGTACCCCATATGAACACGTGACCAGAAACTGGAGACCTTTTTTGGCCAAGTGTTGAAAAATGCTGTATTTATAAACTCAGTGTAATTATTCAAGAGAGCAGTTAGGTAAGTTGCACTATAGTCATAAATTGCACTATTGGATTTAATGTATCTGGTTATTTAATATGGATCAACCACTAACTTTATTTGTGAAGCAATAGCTCAATTACGCCAGTCGGTCGCTCATTGATCTGTCTATATTGATTGACCAAGGACCAGTCAATCCAGTTGAGGGATCGGTTAATCAACTGATGGAGTGATCAATGGATGGTCTTTTCTCCACCAGTTCATCATAAAAAAATGTTTCAAAAAACACGACCTTAACCAACTAACTTGGTTGCAATATGAAACAAACCTGAAAACCATGAAGCTCTGATACTAAAAATAACGTTTTCATCCTTTCTTCGTGCCGAAACAGACAACAGTTGTAGGGATTAGAAAATCTGACCTAAGTAAGTGCCCCAATACCACTGTAATCAATTTTTATCATGTAATGATTCATCTTTTTTCGGCTTGTCCGCAACGAAAAAGATGTAAAATCTTCTGCCTGACCCCTCCTCAGAAAAAAATGTCTCGATCCGCCCCTGAGTTAATGCGATGATTGTTCAATCATGGTCCGTGGTTCAATCATTGAGTTTAGAGCCCTGTTGGTATTTGCCGTTGTACACTTGCTATCAAATTTTCTCATATTCAGTGAGCCGTAGGTGTTTGATTTGTTTTAAGGAATTGAATTTAGTAATTGGAAGTTGTGATTTAATGTTCTTTATCATGTTGATGTATAATGTGGATTAGAGAGGAAATGGCGTGCTTTATATGAGAGTTAAAAAATCCATAATTACCAAATTAAGTCTTTCAGAAAATGTGATGTCGAGACTACAATTAGGTGATCAAACTGTTATTTCTGTGGCACTAAATTAGATTGTCCCAGGTAGTTTTTTCAATTCACCTGTTGTTCATTCAAAACAAAATTGAAATTTCCGTATGTTGGTAATGGTATCAGACAAGCTAAAGCGTAAAGTGAAATGCTATTCTTAAATTAAATGTATTTTCAAGTGAGCAGTAAGACACATTCAACTACATTGGTATTTCATATGTTTACTTAATATCAGTTAACCAATCAACCAGTTAGTCGTCACTACTTCAACAAATCAATTGTCCAATCAATAACTCATACATTGATCAATCAGTTGCTCACTCGGTTATTCGACCGACTGATCAATCGAGTGATCAATCGCCCGACTGATCGATGAGATCGACCAATCAATGAATGGATGGACTATCAATTGGTACATTTTCTACCAGTTTATCGAAATAAAGAATAATATAAACAACAGCACAACCCCGATTACAAAAAACGAACTGCCTGTCTTACATCACGTAACCAGTTCCTTGTCCCTAAAGTAGCGTCAGATAAAACGTGCTTAATCATTACGAATGACATACAATTCTCCTTTTGAATGTGACTTTACGCACATTTTGTCCATAACACTCAAAATTAACTCTCAGATTCGTAAATTTCTGCATATTTTTCATGTATTGTTAGTTAGGCTAAAGCAATGAAACAAAAATTAACAATTATGGATACAAATTTTAAAAAGCTGTAGAACATTAGTCACGCATTTTTTTCCATTTAACCTTTAAACGTTAGAATTCACAACTTTTTGCCACAAAATTACGTCTGATAAAAACTTTAATCTAAAAAAAGAGCCACGGTGGAATCCATTTCCCTCCCCTGGACACGTTCTCCTATACATGGTTTGCTACAATACATGTTTTCACGCACAATGCTTTCAGGAAATTTTTGTAGTAATGTCTTGTCATTATGAAACAAGTTTGTGAAAATCGAATATGCCGTTCTCGCAGAAAGCCCATTTTATCGAGACAGGTCAGCCAGATTTTTATAGTTAAATGCAAGCTAGCTAACAGGAGTGAAGGTGTGAACTTCAAATGATCGTAACGACAGAAAAATATCCTCTTCTGAGTTACAACATCAATGCTGTAGGCCTTATGATAATGAGTATCATATGCGCATGTAAAGTTTCAGAAAGATCGACCCTGGGATAGCTGTGAGTTCTTTATAGGCTCTCCATCTCCTTGCTTTCTCACAGTGAGATGTCTGACAAGCCCGGCTATCTAAGAGTTCAGCCTTTTTACAGCAGGTATAGGTGTATAATATACCCCCCACCAGATCGTACCCATGCCTAAATAGTTTTATTGAATTCAATATTCATAGTTGTGACATTTTAATTAGGCAAGTGTCATATGCCGCTGGTTTGATGAAATCCTTTCACGCTAACAAATGAAAACCTTTTACCTCAGAGCCTCAGTGTTTTAAATTACGAAGATAAGTTTTAATATACTTTATGGAATACAAAATTAGTTGAAGATCTCATGACTACAAGAGAAGTGGCTTAATATTCGAAAAATGTTTGATTCTATTGAATACTGTCTTCTGAAGACCTCTAATAGTAGAAAGCGTCGTTAAAGTTTTCATCTGTTCTTCGTACCTGAAACAGAGAAGATTGAAAACGGATCACATGATACAATTCAGTGCAGGCTGTGGTTGGGTTACCAAATCTGTTTATTCAGAACCGTGTCCTCATGATTATCATTTAAATTTAACTAAAATTAAAGTTCAACTTACAAATTCCGGACCAGGAACGATGTAAGGTCTCGGGAAAATGTCATTTTGCTGACCATGAAATCGGATCTGGTAAGAGGTGAAGACATTTAAATCGATGTAATGGAAAAACAATTTCCAAGATTTTTTTGCAAAAATACATTAAGTGGCTTTGTAAACAAAATTCAAATTGTGAAATATTATATTTCGATATTTCAAAAATATTTTGGGCGAATTGCAGAAGGGTATTATAAATCAGCAAACAATGAATGACCATCGGTCAGTCTTGGGAGAAAGACTGCACCTTAGTGAGTCGAGTAAAACAGACTGACATCAGTAAGTATGGTCAAAAGGATTTTAGTGTCGGTCTAATGCGTTCTAAAAAATCATTGTTTTGTGCTACCGACTATTTGCAACAAAATTGGTAAAAAGTTACACTGCAATCAGTGTAACTGGAAACAAAACTGAAGTTCTGCCAGTCTGGTGACGAACGGACTTTCAAAACAAAGCCAGGTAACAAAGAAGGCAATCTCCGTTTTTGACCACAGGCAAGGTTTCAATAGCAGAGACTAACTAAGAAATGCTTACATCGTGTTTGGCTGAGCGACGATAGCCTTCAGGTCTCTCCTCCCACTCGACATTTTTGTTAGAGAATGAGTTCTGTACATCGTACAATCCATGGCCAGGCACACGTCGCATTAGACAAACGCAGATGCTTGCTATGGCAACAAGACAGCCCAACACAATGACACCAGATGACGCAGCAATGGCGATGATTGCTCCATTGTTATTATTTTCTGTCGGATTTTCAAAATGATTTGTGGTAATTATCTCTTTTCGGTAAGAAAAAAAATAGCCCACCACAGTGGCACCAGATGAAGCAATACCTGTATTACCCAATGTCCACGTGACCAACACTCCCCCAGATTTCCGGGAATAGTCGAACCATTCCGAACTTATCCTGTCCATATTAAATTCAGTTTACTGTCAACACTTTTTCTTTCATGCTCCTCAAACCTGTAAAAATTGTTACAAATTGTTAAAATTGCTAGCCAAATGAGTAAAGGGAGAAAAAACCATTCGGATTGTATTGGTAATATTCGGGCATTTCCGGCCTCGTCTGTGGTCCTTGTCCGTCTGAACTGTCCGTGGTAAATTGAAGTCAGGTTCTGTTCGAATGTGGCGGTCCCCTTTTTCCCACTTATTGAAATTCTCTTTACATTTACTTGCAACAGAAAGTTGCAGAAATACATTAAGCTCTCTGGAATTTTCATCTGGTTCGTAAGTGACTTCGCCACAAAGGCGGACGGGCCACAATTTTCAAGCTCCTATTGGACGATCGCTGAAGTTGCGCGTTAACGTTGACGCGCACGTCCACGTTGACAGCGATCATTTCATGAAACTCAGTGGGCGTGGTTTAAACTGAAGTGACGTCACATTTACGAACCGGATAGGTTAGTTGGCCAAGGGGCTGCCTGAACATAAATTTGAGTTTGCATAATTAATACTTACCGGTAACTTCGACGGTAAATTGGCATGATCCTGTGTTCAGGGCAGCATCGGTTACACTGCATGTAACCGTCGTTGTGCCCAGTCCATACATGCCACCAGACACAACAATGTTGCCTGCATTACCGACGCATAGAATGTCACTTAAAGTCAGGCCATCGACGTTGTCGCTGACTGACAGCATAGATATCCACGACACAGCAACCGTTGATTGTCCACTGTCCACAATGACAGATATGACTGAATTGGGACAAGAAATGTCGGGAGCCTCCGTGTCTGTAAACGAACACAAACCATTTCGAATCATAATGATTTCTGCATGCAGACTACCTCAAACAATGTGATGACACTTGAGAAAAAAAGAATTCTGATAAGAAAATATTAGACAATCGTTATAATATTTTCGTATCTGGTGAATAATTACCAATCACTTCAACGGTAAATTGGCAGGAATCTGTATTCAGGGCAGCATCAGTTGCCGTGCATGTTACTATTGTTATGCCTAAGTCATACACTCCACCAGATATCACAGCAGAGCCTGCTTCATTTAAACATAAAATATCTCTTGGAGTAAACACGTCAACATTGTCTGTGGCTGATGGCATCGATGTCCATGACACAGCAGCATCCGCCCTTCCAATGTCGGTGCTTTCTGATGTGACTGCGTTGGGACAGGAAATTTGGGGAGATTCTCTGTCTGTAATTCAAGGAAGAGAAATTAACACATGTACGCGGCAGACTTTTAGTCTTATGTTAGTTACGTCCATGCTCCTGTCTATTTCTCGATTTGTGACACAGAGCCCAAATTGTTTTCAGTCGGAAAACATAAAACCTGCAGGAATTTGTATACTTTGGAAATGTAACGATTTGTTATGCGACTCAATAGTTAAGCACTAACCTACAACTTCGATAATAAATTGACATGATCCAGTATTCATGGAAGCATCGGATGCACTACATGTCACTGTCGTTGTTCCAACTCCGTATATTCCACCAGACACCATGGCAAAGCCTGCGTCGTTTGTACAGCGTATGTCACTTGACGTCATCATGTCAACGTTATCAGTAGCTGATGGCAATTGTGTCCAAGTAACGGCAGTGTCTGGCCTGCCAATGTCAGTAGCAATGGGCACTGGGTTGGAACAGGCCATAAAAGGAGGCTCCAAATCTGCAAAATGAGCATTCAGATTTGAAAATTATCAAAATTTTCACTTTTATCAACTTGAGAGTATTTTAGAGATGTCCGGACAGTATGAGCATAAAATGAGAGGGACCCCATGGCCACACCTACCCCTCATTAAAAAGTGAAAGGTTTGACACTGAAAAAAATAATACGACGACTGTTCATTTTGCAAAGGGGTAGTTAAAAGAGAAGTCATATTTGGATCTCGTTTTGATACCAACCGACAACTTCAATGGCGAATTGACACGATCCCGAATTTGTGGCGGCATCAGTGACACTGCACGTCACTGTCGTTATACCCAATTCATACATTCCACCAGACACCACCACGTTGCCTGCACTATCTGCACAGTGCGTGTCGCTTAAGGTCAGTATGTCAACGTTATCAGTAGCTGATAGCATTGGTGTCCATGTCACAGTAGCAAACGACCTGCCAGTGTTGGTACCCAAGGTCACCGTGTTGGGGCAGCTAACCACAGGAGCCTCTCTGTCTGCAGATTTTGTGAAAACAAACAGGAGATACATTGTTGACAAGGCGTTTCTTCTCGAAAAGAAAAGCGGGGATGTTTTCAGTGTAAAATGCCTGACACCATGGGTATTCTGCTCCATGTGACACTTCACAACTTGAATTTATCGTAATACGGATCCTCTACTAGCAAATATAATACTTTGGAATTAGTACACTAATTACCAATCACTTCAATGGTAAATTGGCAGGAATCTGTATTCAGGGCAACATCAGTTGCCGTGCATGTTACTGTTGTTATTCCTAAGTCATACACTCCACCCGATACCACAGCAGAGCCTGCTTCATTTAAACACAGAATGTCTCTTGAAGTAAACACGTCAACATTGTCAGTGGCTGATGGCATCGATGTCCATGTCACAGCTGCGTTGATTCTTCCAATGTCGGTGCTCTTTGAGGTGATTTCATCAGGACAAGTAATTTCAGGGGCTTCTCTGTCTACAATTACATTGAGTAAGAAAGAACAACGTCACGTCACCTGCAGATTAATCCACCCATAGTTCCAATAAAAATTAATAGAAAAAAACAGGAGCTAGGAAAACAACTAACATTATTGATTGTGCATTCTTGTTCAAGAATTAAATCTCAGTGTAGTAACTCACCAACGACTTCAATGATGAATTGACATGAGCCAATATTCATGGCAGCATCGGTTGCACTGCATATGACTGTCGTAATCCCAACTCCAAACATGCCTCCTGACACCACGACAAAACCTGCGCTGCTGACACACAGTATGTCGGTTGAAGTTAACTGATCAACGTTATCTGTTGACGATGGCAATGGTGTCCATGTCACAGCGGCATCTGCCCTGCCAATGCCACTGGTCATGGTCAGTGGGTTGGGACAGGCCACATATGGAGGTTCCAAATCTGCAAAATGAGCGTTGAGACTTGAAACAGATATATTGAATGTTGATTTGTTCCCCTTTCACAACATTTGGCACAGTTTGCCAAAAAGGTGTAATTCTAAGCAGTACAAATTAGTGAGGACAGGCTGTATGGCTGTCCCCTGACCTTGACCAAACGTTTATGGATACGAAGAAAGTTTTAGGTGAATTTGTTGTATATGAAGGAGAAATTTAAATACAAGTTGTCGTACCTGAAACTTCAATGATAAACTGACACGATCCAGTATTCGCAGCAGCATCAGTAGCGCTGCAAGTAACCGCTGTTGTACCTAGTCCATACATTTCACCAGACATCACAACATTGCCTGCATTGTCTATACAGCTTATGTCGCTTGAGATGAATGTGTCTACGTTGTCAGTAGCTATTGGCGTTGGTGTCCATATCACAGTAGCAAACGACCTGCCCATATTGGTACCCGTGGTCACAGTGCTGGGACAGGTCACCGCGGGAGATTCATTATCTTTAAACAGCGTTCAAACATAATTGTCAAAAATCTAGAGCATTCACATACTATTTTTGTTTTTGATATCGTGGATTTCCTGTCCAAACGAAAGGGATGCATGTTATTATTTCAGTGCAAAATGCCTTGAACCGTTAGTCTTCGTATTAGCGACATCTAACAGCTTTTTGCCGACCTGGACAAATTTACCCATGTTTTTCACTACTTGCGTGCGTAAAATGTATCGTTTTATCCTGTCAGATATCAAACTTTCCTTTGGAGTTTAGAAAAATATGCACAATTAATTATTCAAATGCTATAAAGTTACGTTCGTCGATATCCTTACACAGGATATCGCTCGAAAGTATCAACAATTTCAGGCTGATACACATATCATAAACAGCATTCCTAGCTAGTATGAAGCTCTAGATATCGAGATTGGACAGATAGCATCCGGCCATTGCACATTTGGCATCGGCAAATCAAAAAAGATGCATCCACTTTTGCCAATGATCATTTCCAGAAGCTATTAATCATGTACCGGTTGATCAGGAGTGAGGCGTGTTGTTATTGCTTTTGCTTCCAAAAGAATGCAATTTTGAATAAAAATGGATCCTTGCCTCAGTAGGATTCAGATTCTGAGAAAATCTCATTGGGAAATTACATTTTGTAAGTTGGCAGCATCAGATATTTTCAATATCAACTTGTTCGGTAAAACTCGCCTCAATTCTAACAAGACACTAAGGGTTGTTGACTTTTTCAATATCAACTTGTTCGGTAAAACTCGCCTCAATTCTAACAAGACACTAAGTGTTGTTGACTTTCCACTAGGTGGAACCTCAGTGACGACAAAAACAGTATACTGACCGACAACTGTGATGCTGAACTCGCAAGAACCTGTATTTGTAGCTGCATCAGTTGCGTGGCATGTAACTGTCGTTGTACCTAATTCATTTGTTCCACCAGACACCACAACATTGCCTCTACTGTCTAGACAGCTAATGTCGCTCGAGGTTAGTATGTCTGTGTTATCAGTAGCTGTTGGTATAGGTGTCCACGTCACGGTAGCAAATGATCTGCCAGTGTCGGTACCAATCATCACTGTGTTGGGGCAGGTAACGGTTGGTGCTTCACTGTCTGGAAATTTCATGAAAAGTATAACTGTCATCAACAACTGTGGTACCCTGGTTATAGGAGTGTAGAAGAGATCATCAGGCCGTGTCGGAAACGGGCTTCCAGACCTAGCTGTAGACAACAGATTCCGATGCTGCCTCAGCTCAAGTACCCTTCGGTTATCACCAAACCAGTTTGTTTCATGCGGCAAAATCTTAAGTTTCTTATTTCATTACAACTCATGTTTCACAATATAAAAGCAGTTCGTTCAACAATTTGTTAGCGTTGGATGCCCTATAGACGTGGTTGATATTGAGGCTTTTATGTACCTGTACACAAACGCAGATTATGCTAACATGATGACGGGGTCAGTACTGGAACTTAATATCCTCTTCAATTTCTGACTAATTGTCTTAGCGACGGTATTTTTATATTATCTTTGACATTGGAAGAGTGTGTGGGGTGAAACTATAAATGCACAGTGCTTACAACTGGTAGATTGCCCTCACTCAAGCATACTCACAAGCTTAACCCTAAAAGAGCCAGGCTGTATTGGGCCATCTCACAGCCAAGGGGATTCTGCCCCCCCCCCACTGAACTGTAGCATTCCTTAAATCAATTTCCGAAACTTTGCATTTGTATAAAGACACCCATCATCAGAATAGAGGTTTTAATCAATTCAAATGAAGTTTAAGGCCGCAACAAGTCAGTCCACGTGCGCATTAGAGAGGAGACTCTTGGGTATGATCGACATGTCTCGGCAAAAATGGGGTTTGGACAAGACTCAAAGTCGATATGACCGCCTTCGGGATATCAGGCCTATGCCAAAAAATTCCAAAGGATTGGTGAATGAAAATAGTAAAGCGGCGATACAGGAAAAAAAGGGGCAGGGATGAATTCCACCTCCTCTCTTTGGGTTAAAATAAATGCAATTTGCGTTTCTGGAAATAGCCAAGTTTAGTACATGTATATTATAGCTTATTCAATGACAGTAGATGTTTTAAACAGCTCTGGAAAAAGGCAAATTGAAAAAAATCCAAACATTTTTCAAGTTGTCAACTTTATCTTTACCGCAGTTTTCTTCATCACTCCCATCCAAGCAGTCCGTCAAACCATCACACTGCCACATATCCACAAGGCAAACAGAGTGTCCACAATTAAACTCATTCTCTCCACAAGTCAGAATTTCTGAAACGAAGAAGGACATGCTTAGTTGAGACTGGAAAATTCAGAAACAACGGGCAACATCAACATAACACCATACTTCCATTTTGACTTTTGAATGTTGATATTTTGGAGAGAAGAATCAGATTGAAAGAAGCGATTGTTTGATTCAGGTTATAGTGAAAAACGTTTTCTCATCGTCACTTATTGGCCTACCTGTAGATGGAAGACATATAGCCAACAGCAAAAACCCGCTGGAAGTCTCCTCAAAGTCTGACGTGAATCTTATCCACATTTCACTTCCAGAGGAGATCAGATTAGGTGGGGATTTACTTCCGTGCCAAACGAAAAATTGGCCTGTGGTAATATCGTTGCCATCACCAGCTAACAAATAGTCTTGATCTCTCTCAGTTTCAAAGCTAGAGAACGTGAGTCGAACAATCTGGCCATCTACACACTGGATGATCCAGGTCATGCTGACGTTGTTAGGATAGTCACTTGGATAAGAGGGTGAGGTTACCGCAACGCCCTCACCGTCTGGGACCTGGACAATGTTTTGCTCTGTGAGAGCTTTGGAAGATTGAACGGTTAGGTAACTCCAGCAAAAAATACACCAAATGTATTCTTGCAACGCGTTCGAATCAATGGGCCATTAGTTCGGTATTTTTAAGGTCTTCTGGGAACAAAGTGTGGGGGTGCTGCTGTTCCAAAATGACATGCCTCTGACGCGTTTCACTTTGCATATGCGCGGCTGTTGGAATAGCCAACCTGGTTCAGTGTTATTACTCCATCCTTTGCTATGCAACAACGCACTGCAACGGATTATAACGCGATACAAATTAAGTCTCTGTTAGACTAAAGTTGACAGACATCAAGCTGAATCAGCTGACTAAAAAGACCGGTGGACTGTTGAGTTGCAAGAGGGTCAACAGATGCTGAGCCTTTGGTAAAACAGCAGTTGGATCTAAATGCATTTTTTTCTTTTGAGTGATTTTCCAATATGAGTTTTCAAAAGTTTTATTCATGTGTCTTACTCGGTACATGTAATTTTGTTCTGTGTTTTAACCTGCAATTTGGAATTGCTTGGAATGGACAGATTCCATAGAGATATTTCGAATTCATGATTCCATTTCAAGTAAACAACATAAAATGATTACCCCGCAACCCCTCCAAAATGTTAAAAACAAAACAAAGAAAACAAATGCTTGGATTTAGATTGAAATAAAATTCAAAATTGTAAAACCAACTTGGGCTGATGACTCCTTTGGTGCTTTGACTTCCCATCAATACATTAAACTCCAGAAATATTCGTATCAGATTCAATTAAAATGTAACTATACCGTTTCATTGACTGAGTGACTCTAAAAACACGGAGTGACCCACTTAATGGACATTCGTAATTAAAACAACAACTATGCGTTCCATCTTACCCTGACATTGAACGGCGGAAAAAAAGCAGAAAACGATGATAACAACTCCATAATGATGCATTTTGAAAAGTTGTATCTGACAGAGAATTCTGTAACAAAAAGGTTAAATAAAATCAAACACGTCACTGACTTTGACGTTGAACAACATTCTGAACCTACAGCAAGACACGCAAAGTCTGTCGCCATCGAATTGCAAGTCACAGTTAAGCTTTCTGATACTGCTTTACCGCAGGGGCTTAACTACAGGACCATTGGGACAGGTGCCAATCGCCAAAAGAAATCGGCCTCCTCTTACATTTGAAATTTTGAAAAGTACACAGCTTATGTGCAAGTCATATTTGTGCCCCCCCCAACAGACGTTTTTCAATCCTGATTTAACTGTTGTTTGAACAAATTATTACAGAATTTCATTTGGTCAAACATGATTCTGAAGATCAGATTCTGTCCGGCGCAATAGTGTCCAAAATAAAGGCCGACCATACTTGGCACCAAATAGAACACAGACCCATTTGTGACGTCAGATAAAAAATTCGCTCGGCAACTTTGCAAATTGAAGTCAGCACATTTTCAACTTGAACGAAATTTTGTTGCAAATCTTTCGTGTCGCTATCAACTTTGTCTTTAGTATGAACTGGACTTTAGTAGGATAAAACTGGTAAAAGTATTTCTCATAAATTGCTTTTAAAGATAAATAAATTATACCAAAACAAGCAGTTAAGATGCACGAAGTCTACGTGACAGGCGCGGGAGATTGAATAAGCGCTGTGACTTACCTAATACCAAGATATGACCGATGAATCAGTGGAAATCAGTCGTAGTTGAAGCCAATCGGCACGGACGCATCAAGACTTCAACACACTGGGACGGCAAAGGGTGTTATGCAGGCGGGCGTATCTGGTTATACGACTCTGCTTATTACCGTTAGCTCCTTCAGATATACAAGGTCTTTTTGAAACAATATTTTACACTGGCATTCATGCGGGACATAAAATTGTGGAGGATATCGGTGGGCCGTACCAAGGACATCACGATGCTTTTGCTCTTTATTATACAATTTTTGAGGGACATTCTCCACAAAAACTTGTTGACCGCTGGATGGAAAATAAGGTCATTCCCGGACCCCCACAACCCAAAACCAAAAATTCCACATCATTATACAGGCGCTGGTTGACACTTTAAAAAATATCCACAAAGTCATCCTTTCTGAGCCATTGCGTCTATCGTGTAATTTAAGAAGCCGAATTAAAAGCCATTACCGCGGTGGTAAACGCTCATGGACAGGTGGTAGTACGCGCGCGTTACATGTCTCTTGGACCAATAGGGTGTCATGATTTGCCCAATGCACGCGCTCGTCAAGCTGACGAATATGCGTATGAGTGCGGTGCCACCACAATAATGGCGTCTAAAATAAGTCGTTCAGCAATCAAGGCCCCAACACAGCCATTAACTAAGAATGCACACACACAGACGACAAGATATTGCACATTTTCAAGGCACTGTCACCAAAGCACGAAGAATACCCCGCGGCTTTCCTCAGCGTGTAGATCGAAAAAAGAAGAGGAAAACAGTTATTGAAAACCTTTATTGAGAAGCGAACATGGCAACCCTTCCCAATCACTGTGACAGTTTTTGTGCTCCTGAAATTGACGAAAGAATGGATGATCCCTATAACTGTGAGTGGACCGTCCTAGCAAATGGGCTCGCGCCAACTTTTGTAGCAGAGCACCATGTTGTGCAATTACCTTGGCTGTGAAAGAAACATTCCAGCCATTTTAAAGATTATATACAGGTTGTTTACAGGTAAAGGCTATAAAGCAGAATAAATTAATATTTGAAAGATATCAGCCGTGCGTATATACGAAGGACAGTGTTGGATGAGGCATTCTGTACTTTTTTCTTTCTTCAAGTCTACCGAATTCTCCCCGACATATTGAAAAGGGGAGGGATGTACTAACAAACGACTGTTTGGAGCAAGGCCAACCATTTATGTTGAAAGATTTTATCCACGCCAATAAAATTAAGGTCAATTACAGTGTAGATTTAAGATATCTGCAGGTTTAGAAATGAGCGTATCAACTATTTAGTGCAGGCAGGCCCTAGAAGCTGTGATACCGTCGTGAAACTGCTTCAGTTCTTACCTCACATGGGCAAAAGAGCTCAAAAGCCTACTCAAAACCTAGCAATAAAACAGATCGAATATATGGATGACATAAAATAAATCTGTTTATTTAATAGACCACGCTTAAAATACAAGCCCTTATTATTCTACACTCCTATGAGGCGCATGCGCACCGAGATTAACTCTGACATCAACTTATACTCCATGTAAGCGTGACGAACTAAGCAGCGAAGAAATTTCATTAAGAGTCCAGTTTTTACTTTGCGTGTCTTCTTGTTGAATCAGTGGCATCATACCAAACCTCCTTTTAATAGTGAATAAAAGTACTGAGGCACTTTTTCTGTGTGTCTTACTATACTGATAACCTAGCTAGAACCAATAACAGTAGTTACAAGTACTCGTTTTATTACTGATTACAACCTTCTCCATATCGACTCCTAATCGTAGATATTTTATCACCTCAAATTAGAAACTACACAATGCACTACAACTATGCACATCTAAATGTATTACTTATATAAAAAATAATTACTGGTACGTCAGCGCGTCCCCTCCTCAGAAGTGCTGATAACTTTGTGTATTTTGCGACGGGAAAATGTCCCATCACAGATGTATATTTTGAACACTGCAGTCAATTACGTTGTCCAAGGCTTTGTCAAAAGATTGGTTAGCTTTCTCGGTCGGTCCCAAGAGAACACCGAGTATGCAGTCTTAACAAATGTATGCCAGAGGAGAATAAAAAGGCATTTAAAATGCTGATGAGTAAGTATCATCTCAAAGCGTTTCATATACACATGTAATGTTCTACTTTTCAAACAAGATTTTCAACTTAACCACTTTTTTGACAAGCAAACCATTACAACTGGAATTCACTTAATATCGAAATGTGCGTCCGTGTCTAGAGCCACTGTTAGGTAATACAAATATAAAATCACGCACACCTTCAACGTTGAAGGGCATTCATTCAGTCTCAACGACACAGGTGGCAGAGTTGATACCATCGACGCATCGATATCCACTGGGACAATTGACGGCAGCACACTCATCATCATCTGCATAAACAAACAGTAATGATGCTTTAAGTAACTCTCAAAACAGTTTAACTAATTTTGAAAAGATTTATGAGCCAGTTCGGTATTCAACAGCGCATGTCCAGTATAAAGCTAATCAGGCACAGTACGCGCGCGCGATAGTCTGTCATATCAGCGAAGCCATACGCGCGTACTTTGTTCCCGAAAGACTTGGCTTTTCGAAATACGGAACTAGCTCATTCTCTACAGATGGCATCGAACCGCTGAGGCCATATTGACAGCTATAAAAGCGATGAGTTTCAAAACTGTTGATATTTACTTCATTTCAAAAGAAAATAATAAATCAAAAGATTCACCAAAACATTTTTCAAAGAGCAACCCCCCCCCCAATCACAATGCACAAAATATTTCGACCCAATGTGCGTTTGGAAATGGTCGACAAATTTCAAGCGTTGTGATTGGCCAACGCGTTGCAAACTCTTGGAGGTGCACTATTGTGAGTCGCCCATGTTAATCATAAACACCATAGCTGATCGTAACCGAAGGATGCACATACCTCTGAAGTACAGGTACAAGCTGTTGGTAGGTGAAGGTATCTGGCAGTAACTATCATACAACAAATCCACTCCAAACACGTTCTCTGGACCATACGACGTGCTATAGCCTGTACCACACATACCATGGCCTAGGCTCAATGACGTCAAACAATCACAATTGTCGTCATCGATCTGAAGAGACTTAACTCCATGCTCCTCGCGATACTGGAAAGAGTCTTGTGCAGCACCAGGCGCTGTCCCTAAAAATGCATTTCCAATACGGGCGTTTCACAACAGTGCGCCTTCAAGAGTTTGCAACGGTGCGGCTAATCACACTGCTCGAAATCTGTCAACCAAGTGCGTGTTTGGACAGGGTCGACAGATTTCGCGCGTTGTGATTGGCTAACTCGTTGCAAACTCTTGGAGGCACACTATTGTGAAACGCCCGTATTAAGTACCAATGAGAGTATCTCCATCATAGTGCATGTCTCATTAGAGAGAATTGGAACTCTAGACTTAGCGACCGGACAGACGAACCCACGCCGTAGAAAGGCGCTTAGAGTGGAAACACATTTCTAAATACAGAAGATTTCCGCGTCTGTTTATATTGCCGCTTTAGTATTTTTTCAATTTGTCAATCACCCAGAGAATCTGCATGTACCTTATTTTAATCTGATAAAAATGTAGGGCCTATACTTGCCACTGACAATTACTGGGTTCCAAACATTTCCTTGTGTGACTTTGCCTTCTCGATGATCGTGGAATGCTTCCCATACCGCGTGAGCTACGTCATTACTGGGATCGAACGCCCACCTTAAAAAAAATACCAAAACCAAAAAGTTAAGCAATAAAACGTGGCGGGCGGTGCCCTCAAATTCTCAGAATAAAGTGCATCAAAAGTTGTATAGTCCAATGAAACGAAATATGTTCTGTTATTCTTATAGTTTTGACACTATTAATGTTGAGACACTCAACTTGCAAGTGTACGTTCCTTTTTCCTTTCATTTCCCCTTCTTTTACTAACTTGTGTCTGAAGCTGTACGACTGCTTGCTTTCAGGCACCTTTCCATATGCGCGTCGACACTGAGCGCCAAGCGTTGTGTGTCAGCCTAGGAGCGATTTTGACAGCCAAACACAAAGCACATGTGTGCTATGTTAATGGTGAAAAGTGAATCGTAACTCACACCAAACACGCACATATGGAAAGGCGCTTTTAGTCTGTAAAATTGTTTGCTTACCTGTACACATTTTCAGCGGAATCTGTACCAAGCATCTCTGCCTTGGATTCTTCCAATTCTTCCGGTAGCCGACCAAAACAATTCGCAGCGGCTACTTCACAGTCGCCATATTTGTCTGTGATAAGGAATAAACAGTTATAGGCCTATCAGGCAAACAGGGACTCCAGGAAATGTTTTCTTCAGACTGAGTGCCATGACCCTTCAACATTTTCTTGATTTTGCATATAAATTTACACGTGTACTGGGTACAACTCTTCAAAAGCGTCCAACAAACGTAGACTTGGTATCACCGTACGATAAATCATCAAAGGAGAGCATCCAAGGTCGTCATTGACAGGAAGTAAGGGTGAATCAAATACATTTCTGTATTCATGCAGTAAGTTCGCCTCTTTTTCTTATGGTTGAGTTCATTACGTATACGCGGTTCGAGTTACAGCGATTAACAAAATCCTGCAGAAAACATACGCACCCAAGGGAGCGATAACAACACCTGTGTGAAGATGCCTATACGGAGGGCATGTACGGATGGCTGGATAAATTTACTATTATCCTTGAATTTAGCAACAAGAATCCATACTGCACTTAAATTATTCTTGTTAGCAAATCCAACAGTTATTGGATTCGAAGTTGACTTTACCTTGCAGAACATCGGTGACTGTATCAGGCCAAGTAGTGTCAGTGTACCACCAAAATAACCTCCAACGAGCGCCATCTTCGTTGACAACAGGATACGCTGGAGAAGCTGAAAATTGACTTCATTGACTAGACTTTAATCTGGCACTCAACGCCAATGAGAGAATTGAAAACAAGAGAATCAAATTTATTGTGCTAATTATTATTAACAGAGTACCCGAGTAAGTGCACGACATATATATGACAAACTGCACAGCTAATCTGCTCTGACGTCATAAATTACTCACTAACCTCTTTTACGCTGCATGTTTGGTGCAATGCCATCTCTGGAACGGAAACAGCGGATCAACGGAAAAAAGAGACAAAAGTGTAGCCACATATACCCAATTCAGCCCGACATCAAAGATGGCCAATCACCTAGACGAATAACCTCCCACTGTCTTTATGTACTGAAGAAACATGTGAATGGGGTAATCACGCCTTTAGCCACTTGCGAAGCAGCTTGATGACAAAGTTTCAATGTTAAAAATTCAAAATAATTTACCTTCATCTGGGGTAACATCAGTCTTGTTGACAGGGCATGGCGCCTTGCTGGACAGCTCAGCTACAACGGTTTTTAGTTCGTTCACGGTTTGCTGAAGAGATTTCAACTCTTTGACGATGTCAGTCGTGTTGCAGTGGTTCCTACTTTTACAACACGTCTGCGTGGTGTTGAAAACAGGTTTAGCTGTGGAAGTGAACAGAGATAAATTCACTGTGACCTGCCGATTTTACGCCGACCATACTTTTACCGTCGGTAATGTGTATCATTTACAAATTAATAAGTACATGTAGGCCCTACTGGTATTAGTGATAAATGGGTCTATACTGATGTAATTTGTTTCGGGAAACAGCACGATTCGTCTCTATGAAATTAAGACTAACTTACACAATATTTCCTGTTTTGTTTACAACAGTGTTAGTGTCATGCCCTCTTCAATCCTTCGCGCTGATCCAAGGCTTTCTGCTACAATCAGAACTTACTTTTAATCCGGGACTTTATTAGTCTGGAAATGAACTTCAAATAAGTATCGAAAGCCTTCAAATAAGTGAATCAAAACCAGCCTTTGCAAAATATTCAAAGACACATTCAAGCAAACAGACTATCGAACTAAATAAAGCGTAACTTTTGAAAAGTGTACCTTCACATGCCGACTTCAGAGTGAACGATGTCTCCTGCTTCGCCTCGATATCAGCCGAGGAAACCTGAAGGACAGCTGATACCTTGGTCTGCTGTGGGTGATTATGACAGTACTCCTGGTTGCAAGAACCATCGGAGACCACCGGAGATGGCTCATCAGCAATGACTTGCTGTGCACTAACGATAAGAATGCAAATCGTTGCAATGGTCAAACCCATATCTGAGTCTTCAGTCTTCTGGTTTCATGCGAAGATGTGGCTTATGAGTTGCTGTGACACTCAATTTTAAGTGGTGTGGAAACTATTTCATCCTTAAGTGCGGTGATGTTTATGTTTTACACCGCTCCGTGTTGAGTACCTTTCAATAGTATACCAAATCACTAGGTCTGTGTTTGAATTGCATTTCTCCAGGACATGTGCCTTTTCACAGCCGTAGGTCACTCCTGTATATATGAAGCTTCCGGAAATTAGTTTCTGAACTTGTTGGTTAAACAACCCTTGATCACCAACAGTTCAATATATCATTATAGCGACAGCCTGGTTTCCTCATCAGACCGTATAGTTGATGCACGTGGGCCTACATCCGTCGAACTTTTCCGAGCGGTGCAAAGATCCTGTTCCGGCACTGTTCACAGACCTTATCTTTCTGACCCAGCTGGCCGTTACTGAGGCGGAAGCAAATGGAAACTTCCACTGCTCCTTGAAATTTCTAGATCCAAGTGCAAGTGAGACATGTCGGTCGCGGACCTCGTCTATCTTTTACTCCTCAATTTCGTCCTTCACTTGAATGTCAGGACACGGTGGTAAACCTTACAAGATGTGTATACGTTAACCTTTTTTCAAGTCAAATCGGCACATTTCTTGAGCCAGATATCGAAAAGAAAGACTCCTTAAAAACGTAAAATCTCAATATTTTGTACTACATCTTAGTTTCAAGACACAAAACCTCGAATGAAAGCTAGCACACAATAATATCTGCTACTAGTAATCTGCTTATATATTTTGAGCGTACAATAAGAGGGAATACAGACAGACATCTGACAATATTTTTATATTAAAACACGGTGTACAAAAACTATAGCAAGGCACATTGTTGGGAGTTCAAATTGTACAAATCTTGAAAAGTCACCCTATAATACGACAAATGCTTCAAATATTGAAATAATGGTAAGGTACGAATTCTATGCTACATACGTAAGAACTTGAAATTCTTAATGTAAAAACTTATCAAAACAAGATGTTTACAGTCTACATCAGCAGAAACACGGTCACAGTCAGCCTTTGGAACTGACAACGATTCCCCGACAAAAAGACCAGGAGTCTTTTCGACTCTGTCACACTAAACAATTAATGCTCTGGGAGTTATTGGCCCCTACTTTCGCTATTTTTAAATGCTAAACTGAAACTCTCTTAAAACGATCATTGTGTGCTCCAGACCTGGATATTACCAAGAAAAAAACACCATCCGTTTTAAATGACAAAAAAATACTTTAAATAAAGGTCTGTGCACTGCCAATCTCAATTGAGGTAACGTGGTAATATGATTATACAGCAAACGAGGTTTTACACCTTTAGGCAGCCAAAGATGTTTGTGCGAGTCTGCAGCTTAATATATTGATTGGTTCTACGTCATTCTTCATTTTGGTCTATCCATAAAATATTTACACCCCAATAAACAATAGCAAAGAAAACCCAGCTAGATCGTTTAAGAGGAAATAACTTATTTGTGCGATCGCGACATAATGGCATTAACGTGGTCTCACATTGCTACCCGGTAGTTAGGTAAATGTTTTTAAGACTGTAGTTTTGATATCAATGTGAACATTACACGTACCTTTTTCAATTAACGTGACTTACAAACATAACTTTAAAACCCATCGAGAGAAATGGAAGAACCCAAATTGTGGAACCAATGTCACAACGACTTGTACACCACATACATCTCTTTAACATACGTTGAATATGTTCAAGAACATGCCGCAGAACAAGAGCAATCGTGAGTAGTCCAATCCTTCAACTGCTTTGAATAGTAACACAGAGGTTGGCAAAAACTTTATAATCTCGCTTTCTAATTACAGGGGTGTGAGTGGCCACTTAAAATTACAGCTGAAAACAGCTAGCAAAAAGCTGAAACACAAAAAGTTCCCATACTTTTGTATAGACCAGGTGAACAAAAAAGTTGAAATTCAGGGTCAACATCTAACCTTAAAATGCTGAAATCAGATGAACAGCTGAATTCTCACACCCGTAATTAAAATAGATGAGACCCAGTACAGCTTGTAAAAATTTTAAACTCTTACGAACGGGTGGCACAATTTGCATTGCACATGTGGAGAGAAGATGTCATTTTCTGTCCTTGAAGCCCAATCTGTGGTACCTTACAAATGCCAGCTTTTATGTAATAATACACAAGGAAGTTCATAAGGTACTCGAGAGCAAGAACCTGATGCCTTGCATATTTTTCGTTTTCTCTTTCATCGAGATGTAATATATTCTTTAAAGAGTTGTGTTATGAAAGACTATATACGACTATGCATTTTTAAATAATTCTCCCATACACAGAGTCTCAAAAATACTCCCTGAGTATAGTCATTACATTAAAATATCAAGATAAACCCCACAACACGTACCATTGCAGAACATATGTATGCACCCAAAATGCCCCTCACCTAGCAAATTTTGTTGCAACAAAACCGACCAAAAATAATATACCGTAACTATTCAAAATTTGACTACTGTATGTCCAAAAGTAAAAAAAATTGCACTAAAGTATAATGCAAAATTTTTATTTACCAGAAAATGGTAAATCACTTCAGTACTACACAGAACATCCAAGACTTAGTATGAAATGTCTGGTTTTAAACCGTATACATTGTATTCATTTCAGAGAGGTAGAAAACTGATACATTGACAGCCCAAATCACGAGTAAAGACTTGATACAGAAAGCCCTTCCTCAAGTTTTGCATTTCCCTAAAACCTCCTCAACAAACACCTCCAAGCATCGTTTACATTGAGCAAACACCTTCTCAAAGGCTGCGTCATCACCAATCTGTTTGATCACAACAAAAACAAACAAGAGATTGAATAATTTTAAAATGCTTTTTCGTACCTTTAAATCTTCGAGTTTGAATAATCTGAAAGCATAGGGCCAAAAATGAACAGGTGTAATGAATTGAGGTGGGAAGTTAAAAAATGTCAGTCAGTCTGAACTGTTTTATGTTCTATGACTCAAAATTAAGAAATTGAGAGTAAATTACAGTACTTAATGAAAAATATGCTTTCTCTGTTAAAGGAAAACACCCACTTAACCAAAAATAAAGTTGATAATCTAAAATTTGGCATACATGTACTTTCAACTAGCATGAATTTTCAAAGATACCAGTGTACTGGTGTATGTATGTATTATTTTGGCTTCATGCATGGTGTCCAGACTTACATAATATGGGTCTGCAATGATACGGTCACTTTCTGGATCCAAATCCCCCAAGAGTCGAATAAGGCTGGTGCTTGAAGCTGGTTTCCATTTCATCAAATGCCTTCCAGAGAATCATCAAAATATTTGTTTCAATTTGCAGGAAATAACATAGTGATCTCTTACCACTTTACTCTTTTTCCGTGAAGGGTTTAATGAACTCAACTATCTCCTACCAGGAGATATACATTAATATGTAGCCAAATGGAGTCAGAAAAGACTTGTATTTTGTGCATGTCCTCAAGTCAATCATATTTAAGTCTCCTTATAATTGGAGATTGGTGCTTGCATGACGTATGCAGCATAAGATTGGCACAGAACGTGATGGGCCAGCTGGTGCTTAATCACTCACTTAGGACCACAACCAAGTGATGACAGGCTCTCACCTAATAGAAAGTGCTAAATTGTCTTACATATGAATATCTTTTGCAACCACCTAGCATGCAAAATTGGATGTATACTCTATAGGAAAGAAACTGCTCAATGGTTAATACTTACTCTAAGATATATTCATCAAAACCAAAGATGTAATGGAAATTCTCATAGTCTTCGAGAGTGATCTGGGAGGTTAAAGAAATGGGAGAAAGATGATGAGTCACATAGATCAAACTGGTCAATTTTTCTGCTATATCTCCCCACACTTCCACCAACAAGTACGTCTTTCCTTTTTTGTCCAGAAACTTACATGTACAAGGTCATTCAATCTCACCTGTTTAGCTCTATGCTGACTTCTCTTTATTCCGTTCTTTTCCAATTGATGATTGGAGCTGGGGTTAACTTCACAACCCACCATGTAATCTGATATAGCTGCACTATCCACCTTCCAGTCAGCAAGCACACCTTTTTCTTCTAACATGTGACACAGCATATTTTCAGCTAGTGGAGATCGGCATGTATTACCTGGGGAAAGAAATTAGTCGTTTTGAACACACAGCTACATGTGCAATGTATAGATGCAATAAGAAGATCTAATCATAAGAGATAAAACTTACAGTTTACATATACTCCCATGAGTTAATTTCCACTTCATGTTCATTATTTGCTGGTACACGTACGCGCACGATTGTATAAAATAAAAAACATGAGGAATGACTGAAACAGTACAAGTTACTGGTAAAATCATCACATACCAGGGTAGAGATAAAGGCATATATCAGAAGAAAAACAATTAAGCCTCAAAACAGTATTGGAGTTGGGTCAGGAAAGTTTCCGTTAAATATCTCAAGTCAAGGTTTTTTCAGGCCTAGTCATGCAAAAAACTTCAGAATTTACCGAGGCAAACAAAGAGGACAGATTTCCTTGACATGCTTGTGGACTCAGCCATCCTGAAGTGTTGATACTATTGGTAACATACATGTCATCATCAACAATGGAAACAATGATGTCCTCTTCAAAGTTGCTGGTAGCCTCGGCTAATTATCAGGGCAGCCCGGCTGAAGTGCTAGGCCTTAATGCATGCAAGAAATACATACACACACATATATTAATGTCAACAGTCACTCCTTACGATTATACTGTTAAAAAAAAAGCTTGCTTTAACGCTTTCCTCTTTCCAATTAGGAAAGAGTTCCCATACACAGATGTCAGCCACATGACAACCCATGCACAAACCCTATGAGACTGGTCTGAAAAATTCTGTTTTTCTAAGTAGGCTAAACCGACTTTTTTATCTGGATCCCTCCTAACTTTCCTAAATTTAACTTTTCTGGACATGTTCTTGCTTTCTGGAGGCTTAAAGGTCACTGTAGGGATTAATTAGTGGCGTCCATATATGGAACTCTTTCCTCCAATTATGTGCAAACACGCAGAAAACCTTAATTCAAGGAGTTAACTTACCAGCACAAGGGCCGAGTTGAACATGTTGAAAGTTTCAACAGTATTTTACATGGGCGCAGCCATGTCAGTGACGTCACTTCGTTAACAGCATCGTTTGCACATCGCCATCGTTGACCAAGCAACGTTTAGTAGATTGCTTACCTGAGAAAGAGGTGGTGCTCTATAGCTAGCTAGCTATCTGCGCATTGTTGTCACTTTGCTGTTGTGTATAATTTCCCCGACAATTTGACTGACAGCGATTTCAATTTGGAAATTCGATCAAAATATCTCGGGTACGACTCCGACATGAGAACTCCTTTATAAAGGCAGAATCGATGGATATTCAAGGTGTTGCATATATGTGAATTAAGGGCATTTGGAGAGGAAATCGTGATTGTTTGAAGGTAAGTCAACACAGTCGACTGACGTTTCAGCATGTTCAGGGCTGGCCCGGAGGCTAGGCCATGCTTTACTAATACTATGGATATGATCACGATGGTGGAGGAAGGGTTTTACCATGGAGGAAGGTTCCATGGTTTTACACATGAAAAACTGTATAGGCCTGCCACACACTGAAGGCCAACGACTTGGATTATTGTAGGCATGGTAGGCTGATAATGTTAAGGCATGTCAACACTGGTACCAAGCTTTGCATTTCCAAATTGTCCGAACAATAATGCGCATGATGCACGCATGTGTTATGTTAATAGAGAAAATTTTTGTGTCCGTGAACTGAATATGAATGCATGAATGTGTTGTGTACGCAAGGCACCCCAAAAATGTACACATGGGAAGGCGACTTTAGTGTGGCTTGAGCGTGTAGCACATGTGCACACAATCTGACATAATGCACATGTGTAGGCCCTACTCCATGATGGAGTACTGAACAACTATGGGGCAGGTCATACTGCATTTTTCTCCTCCTGGAGAAGTGGCGTGAGGAGCTACATGTAGATATGGTACTAGCCCCACAAATTGGGCTGTACCTGTAGTGGCTCTCTTTTACAATCTGCCTCTTTTCCATCGCCACCACAGCCCTACTTCAAGGCATGTCTTAAATGCCTGAAATCCAGACTGCAGGATTGTTACAAACTTTGAATTCTAATATCTTCTGAAATGTGAGAATGACTCAACAATTTTACTTACACTGGCATATTCCTCACAGTTTGGACTTTTATATGAGCACCTTAAAGCTTTCCCAGACCAAATATTTTTCGATGTACATGTATGGCGCCCTTTGATATTTCTATGGTGACCATGGGCAGCGCCATATTAAAAAATAAAAGCAGCACTTCTTGCGTCAGATTTCAAGGTACCCAAAGCTTTAGGGTGCTCATATAAAAGTCCAAACTCTGAGGAATACGCTGAGTGTACATGTACATGTAAGTAAAATTGTCGAGACATTCTCATTTTGGAAGATATTAGGATTCAAAAGTTTTTGACAATCCTGCAGTTTGGATTTCAGGCATTTAAGACATGCCCTGAAGTAGGGCTGTGGTGGCGATAAAAAAGAGGCAGATTGTAAAAGAGAGCCACTACAGCCCTATGTGTGGGGCTAATACATGTAAGTAGGTGTATACATGTACAAATATACGGTAGTTCTTTGGGTAGGCCTATGTCTTGCTGCTTTAGGCCTAGGCCTATGTGAGATTGCTGTTCACTGAGTGATGGCTCATGCTGCTTAATGGACAGTGACTGTGATTATGGATGTAAAATGCTCTGATGTCTTACACATACATGTACATGTTTGTCAAACAGCATCGTATATAAAAAAGTAACACCTTTATTTTGCTTCTCGTATTTGCCTGTACGCCTACCTTGGCTTGGCGTGATGCATCGATGTCATGAATACAAGTTGAAACTTCGGTCATTTTTCCTTTCTGATTGTTTTTTATTGCATGTAGCAATGGCCAACCGGCCCTACCACATGAGCAGTGGAGCAGGGCCATCCAGGCAACATCAAGCCCAAGCTATGGCCGGTTTGACCCCAAGAGGTCGAGGGATGGGTCAGCGACACCCAGGGGCACCGATGAGTGACCAGAAAGCTAAGACGGTTCTGAAGGAAGCTGTGGATGCAGTGGTCAATAGCTTTGCCAAGCACACTCAAGGTTATGGCAGAGGTGAGGACAGATCAATAGGAATGCACTTGACTTCTTGAGGGATTGCTGAACTTACTGCAATTGGAAGTTGCAAGATTCAGCATTTCCCCTTCAAGACTTTACAAGACGTGGTTCAGGGTTGGAGATGAAATTTCCTTCAGAGAAATGGCATATCCTGGATAAAATTTTAAGTTGATGAGAAGATAGATATGCTAAATACATGTGCTGAAAAAGAATGCATTGTTTATTCCTTACAATACCCGAACGAACATTATTAAATTACATGTCATGAGATTTTCACCCGCATACACGTACACATGTTCATGTGCAATTGTACATGTACATGTACATGTATATGTACCATGTATAATATGTGGATGGCTCTAAAAAAATGTGTAGGCCACTAAGTCTTCAGATTCAGGTTATGAGTTTTTGATGTGGCTGAATTCTGTTCATCAAAAGCTACAATTTGATATATGAATAACCCCTGTAGTGTGCTGGGTTCCGGAGATATGAACATGTACACATTTGTATACCCACGTTTTTGTGTTCAATAAAAGCACTTTTCGAGAAAAAGTTCATAAAGTGTAGTGCTTGGAAACACAATGCCGGTATATACATGTACGTGTAGGATTTCATACCAAATGATCAAATTTTCATCTTTGTTCATCAGTATCCATGTTTGTAGTTGCAAATTCTGAAAATATAAATCTTGTAGAAGCTACCGGTATGTAATGGAAAAAACACAGAAATCACATTTTTGAAGAAATTATGCCCTCTGCAAATAGAACAGGCCATTTCGTGTTTTGGCATTGCATGAAGTAGTACCGTTTTTTGCTGAGCAGGTTACGTGGAGCCATTTGGCTTGTCAGGTACCGGTACATGCCTGTTAAGGAAAGACAATAACAAGTATTCTTGCAAGATATGAAGTATAAAAGGAAACATGTTTGAGGTGAAGACCAGGTGGAGGACAGGAATTTGAATCACTTATTGAATAATACAAGTACACACCCACCAAGTATATGCTTATTCATGTATTTAACCAGCTGCACAACTGTTACCTTCATGACCATTCTTAATTAATTTTCTTTGCCATGTGTAGTTAATGTAGTGGAAGCCTTGCAGGACTTCTGGCAAATGAAAGCTTCTCGAGGTGCTGAACTTAAAGGAGGCCCTCTAGTGATCTATGAATCAGTGCCTTCCTCCTGTCCTCCGTATGTTTGCTTTGTCACCCTACCAGGAGGTAGCTGCTTCGCTAGTTTCCAGGTAAGTCTGCAATGAAATGCAACTCATCCGTTCAATGCTTGTGGTATTGCATTGTGTTTAGAAAAAAGCTGGGAACTCTCATACCACTGAATGTCTAGATGTTGTGAGCTCGATGTGCTGAGATTATGATAGTATAAAAATAATGGTGGTCCCTTGGCTAATGACAATTGAAATCGCCACAGGCCAGCTGAGAAGCATCTTCAATTAGCCTGGCTGGTCAGCTGAACAGTTGCAATAAATAGATCCAGTTCCCCATCCAAACCACGATATTGATTGTTTATAAAGGATGGAGCCCGCTTGTTGAAGGCTTAAATTGTATTACATCATCAACTTACTTTTTGACCTCAAATTCCCTTTTTTTCAATGGTGTGTTGTGGCCTTCCGGCAGACAATCGTCTTCATATATACCATTTGCAGTGTAGGTTAACGAAGGGTGGGCTTAACTTCCATCAGTCCTTCAAAAGCCTCTGAATCCCATTTGATGTTGAAGGATTAGGGAGGAATTTTGGTTAGAAACATTTCAGTTTAATTAGTAGTGAAAACAAATGTGTGAAGAGTTTTCTCTAAGTCTTTTCATTAGTTGAACTTTGTTGGACCAGAGTAAAAGGACTAATTCATTAAGCCCTGCCCCGTTGTTTTCTGACGAATCACAGCATGATTTATGGCCCACACAAGTGCACAAATGTCACGATGTGAGCACGGCACTGCATGCACGTATGATATGCGTGGTTGAAACGTAGCGTGGCATTTGAAAAGAACATGTGTTAAGTACTCACGTGCACAGTGAGCAGGACTTACTGGATCGGTCTATTGATCACTTGCCTCTGAAAGACTGCCGTCATACACATTAGTAAGTTACCAAGGGCAGAAATGTCAAAATTCAGAGCTAAAATTTATGAGCACTGTACTTCTCGTTGATACAAGTGTAGTTATTATACATTGTTGGTTTCTTTGACCAGAACTGCCCAACCAAGGCTGAGGCTCGACGCAGTGCAGCCAAGATTGCCTTGATGAACTCTGTATTCAATGAACATCCATCAAGGAAAATCACAGATGACTTCATTCAGAAGGCCGTCACTGATGCCAAGAAGTCTTTCCAGGCATGCATACTAACAGTATAGAGTTGTCCTGTACCCACGTCCCCATCCCAAAAAGCACACCAGCATTCACTATAACTCACCTGTTCTGCATTTAATTGTTCTAAATTAGGCACATTTACAAACTTAGTTCATTGAATAGATTGCTAGAAATAAAGAAAAACCTTCGTAATTGAATTCAAAGCAATCAATACACATTATTCTCTGGTATGCTGTTGAGACATACATGTATTTGAGCTAGTGGGTCATTCTATAAATTAGGCGTCCACATTTTTTCATGTCCCTGTCACATCTGACTCATGATTTTGTAAGTTAAGAACACATCCTCTAATTTCAAAAGTGATGAATTAATGCAAGTTACCTGCCAAGTAGAAATAGTTTGAAATTAATTTCAGTGATATTTCCATGTCAAATTACACACTTCAGCTGTAACAGGGACACAAAAATGTCACACTTTTGGATCCTGAATGTATAGAATGACCCTTATCTTTATTTTCCACAAAGACGTTTAAAGTTTTATGTTTTGTAAGTGTTATATATTCCTTTAATCAATAGCCTGGACTAAATTTTGCTCCAACTTTTTAAAAGGGTTCAGTTGGCTTGTACAAAATATACATCTGACCTTAGAGCCCATCAGCTGTGGCTGTCATTTATCAAATACCTTTGACAGACTCCCTCGACCTAAATGAATTTTGTATGCTTAAAAGAGAATTGAAAGTTAGTGTGGATTGCTTTGGTTCTTCTCCTTCCACAGGGTTCTCCAGAGGATGAGAATGATCCTAACACCAGCCTTGGTGCCTTCCGCTTCATGCTTGAATCCAACCGTACCAAGTCTATGCTGGAATTCCAAGAGCTGATGACCGTCTTCCAACTGCTGCATTGGAATGGTAGTCTGAAGGCCATGCGTGAGCGTGACTGCTCTCGTCAAGAGGTTCTAGCCCACTACTCTCACCGGACCCTTGACGACGACATGAGAAGCCAGATGGCCTTGGATTGGATCTCCAGGGAGCAGGAGATCGCTGGTATCATTGCTGAGGAGCTCCAGCGAGCTGATGACGAGATCGAGACGGCAAGATTGGCTGGTAGAGAGCTGAGATTCCCAAAGGAGAAGAAAGATATTCTGATGTTGGCTTGCAGCCAGCTGGGCCCCGGCTAGGCAAGTATCCACTTCAACTACTCGATATCCCAAAATCTGTCTCTGGATTGGAATATTTCTGGGTCTGCTTTAAGCTGCTTGCCTTACCAACCACTCTTTCATATGTACAGGTGGCTTAATGTTGTTTTTTGTGTATTGTCATTTTCTCAGTAATGGATGTTAGGGAATTCTGGAAGCTTCTTAATGATAGATGCCCTGTCAGGGTTTAGGTTATGCTTTAACTCTTATCTACCCAAACTCCATCAAAATCTATCCTTCCATTTTTGGTGGTTTTCATACATGCACGTGTACGTACATGTATGATACAGAAGACCTGAAGTGACCAGATGTTGGTGAATTATGATGGACTTGGTCCAGGAGGCCTGAAACACTGCTAGGGCATTCAGTGCATGTTGTCATGGCAACATATCTGATGAAGTCATGTAAGCCATGTATGTTACATGTACAGTGTAGGTACATCAACAAAGACCACCATCTCAGTGGTGGACTTTGAAGCAAGCAATGTGGATTGCACATGGTGTGTTGGATTGTTGGATTTGGTCCATTGCCTTGTAAAGGACACTGGACTGTTAGGGTTAATCCATACTAATCCATCAAATTCTGCTTATTGTACATGTAGTCAGTTTGAGTTGAGCTGGTACAAGTTGGTCACTATGACTTGTGTAGATTCAGTGTACATGTACACTGTGTTTTGAAGGAACAGTACCAAAATGAGATAGATGTAGCACTTGGGGGATCTTGCTTTGTATGATAGTTTCATCTGAGCAAGAAATGGAATTTCTAAACAAAGGCATTCAGTCCATTGAATTCAAAGTACCAAAAACTCCACAGTCATTCAACTAGATAAAAAAAACTAATGGATAAGAATTTCAAATAAACTCAATCATGAAAATAATCATTGCAATTCTTTTTTTTCCCCATCTGGTCACTGTTTTAATTATCACATTCGGAGGTTGTGGATAACATAAATTTTATATCAGTTTAAATGCAGAAGTATTGATGCATATTTTACGTCTTTAGCCAAGTACATGTACTTTAATCTACTTTTACTGGTGTAGGTTCAGATTGATTTAATGTATCATTTTTTACCTTCAGTTACACGGTAGACGAGGTCATGTTTACATATCTGTTGTTCCTTAAAGTTGAATGTGCATGCAAACTGTCCATGTACATCTAGTCAACTGCACTTTAAATTACATTTTACAGCAAGTTTCCAAGAATTTATATCGAGAAAAATTCCACCTGTTATTATCAGAAGTATTGCATAATAAATGTGAGGCACATTGTTGATAATGTTGGTTTTGGTTATTGTCCTTGATACATGTACCACCTGCTGACTTATAAATCAGGTACAGGCCGTTGGACTCTCATACAATAACCAACAGTTATCAGCAACACACTGATTCTTGGTTTGAAATCAGTGTGGGATATTATGCACCAAGTATATATACATGTACCGGTAGACTTCTGTGACCAACTGATTAACCATGGCCTCACCAATTTTAATGTTAGTTTCGTTTTGTTTACTTTTCCCCTGTATGGTGCTATCTTGCTTGTTAGACTAACTTACATGTACATGTATTTACACACTAATTTGTATACATGTAATTCTGTTAAATTTATCGCATGCATAATAAATTATTGCATGTTCTACTACTCATTAACGTGATTATTTTGAGTTACATTTGGGTCATTCTATAAAGCCGGGGCTTCCATTTTTTACGTCCCTGTTACATCAAGCATATGATTTTTTTAATGTTTAGAACTCATTATTTAATTTCCAAGATGAAATTACCAGCCAAACAAATAAACATGGTTTGAAATCAATATCATCGATACATCTTTTGTCAAAGTCTGCATTTCAGATGTCACACATCGGATCCCAAATTTATAGAATGGCCCATTTTCAAGTTCCACACGTATTTTGAGGGTTGTTTTTGAGTGGGGCTGGTTGTACGCTTTCCATATTTAATTGATTTACATGAATAAAGTCTCAGCCATACAGTTCGCTTCGTCACCGTAATGGGTCCCAAACCTGTCTGTTTTCAGATATCATTCTTGTGATTGGAGGATGTACACACGTACATTGTACATACTCCTCCCAAATTTGTGATTGAAATAATAAAGAATCGTAACTGGATTTGCAGAGATGAATCTCGATGAGTCGGTTAGATTTGGGGAACATCTTTTTTACTATAAAGGAGTGCATCACCTCATACGCATTTACCCATAGATTGGTATCTAATTAATGACATCATTGGTCATTTTCTTAATAAAAGGACTTTAGCAGACCAAGATTTGAATTACCCTCATGTCATTTTGAAATCACTTTTGAGTGAAAAGACGTCCCATCCGTTTAAGTTTTTTATGTTTCAGAGATTTTTATAAAATATTGTATTCTTCTGCATTCCATCATTCCTTACAAACATTTAATTTTACAACAGCATTTTTACGTGTATTTATTTTAGAATTTTCAACCTGGTTCGGGTGTAGGGGAACTTGTAAAGTGCGCCCTCAATGTGTGTCAGTTTTTTCCTCCTTGTGTGATATGCACGATTGGACATACATGTACGTGTACTGCACTCGCATTATTTTTACAACTAAAACGATCCCCAGTGATGGCGCACTGTTTAATTAAGCTCTCTGCACAAGTTATCATGGTCACTTTTTGTTTACTCCCAGAGACATGTATGTGTAAATGACCTATCGCGGTAGAAAAATACCAACACCCCTTATGAAATATCGTCCAGTTACTTGATTACAAAGTGGACGCGGTACGCGCAAAATCTCAGACAACCAAAACTCCGCTGACAAAATTCCACATGGTTACTTACAAAGGGTGTGGCTGACTCGTAAAAGGCGATAGGTCAGTTTACTAGGTGGTTGTGTCTTTATGCGTGTAAAGGTATTGCTTTTTCTTTCATGTTGCCGATTCTAAAGAGTTTATTCTTGCATGCCACATATTTGTTTAAAGCTTGTAGTTTAGTTGTTAAGTTTGGCAACTCTAAATATTTATAAATTATGCGTTTTTCTTCATGATACGCAATTGCATTTTTTGTGTTTGGTTTGGTGTGAAAGGTTAATACATGTAGTATTTTATTCAGTTGAATTTTGTGCCACATTTGAAGTAATAATATTAATATTTCTTGTTTTATTTAGTGTTTTTTCAAATTGACGTGTCTTTACGTACGAGTACTTGTCGGTATTCCGACAGCGCATGCCCAAAATGAAGGGCGTCCATGTCATTCAGGAACAGGGGTACGCGTTCTTAAATGTTGAAACTATAGCTCATTGGTTTCAGTACTTGATGGGCTGTGTAATTGATGCACCTGATTTGAGAGGAGTCGCATCCTGATGTACCGGTACATGTACAACATGTTTCATTTGGGGCACCACACCACAAAAGTTTTGGGATTTTTTTCTCATTCCTCTGTTGGCTGTCACGATATAAAGCTACTCCTGCACGAGTGGTAGCCAAGGCACATGTAGGCACTTCTCTGTATGTTGGAGGGGGAGGGCTGACAGATGAGAATGGAGGGGTGTAGCTTACATGTACGTCGCCTCTTCCTTTGCCCATGCACTGTACAGTTAAAAGATTTTGTAACCAACGATGACATGGTAGTCTGTGTGAAAGCATTATATGCGGTTATCTTGCAGTTATCAAACAGGCCACTACCAACAATCAATGTAGTCATGTACATTTAACGGGTGTTGCACCGACATACATGTATATTCACAATACTACATGTATATGCCAGTGTTAGTCCAAGAGCTTACGAAAAAATTGTAAACGTTCTTGGGTAATTGGACTCGAATCCCACGACCTCCCGCCTACCTATACGCCTACCAGTGCACACCTCTGAGCTTAAAGTGTTGTGAATATTCATTTGTGTGTGGGCAAAACCTGTTACTAAAAATTAACATCTTCCCGATGCAGAGTACATCTTGTCTGACATCAAAGTCGTGTTCAAGGATCCACTCCGTAATGTTCATAATCTATATCTTATTTTCATTGTACATTTTCCAATACTCATTGATTTACGTTAAATAAAGGCTGAGTTTAAAAATTATAGCAGTGAGTTCTCACTTCCAGATTATTGCGAGATGTCATGCTTATACATGTAATTATATCATACTCAGTTTTTTTCTTGATGGTCTCATTTGCTATGCCAAATCAAGGCCTAACATATAAGTTGGAGATTGACCGCGTGTTGACTTTGTCCTGTCACCAGATTTCCTACTTGACAAAAAGGTCAATCGACAGTTTTTTTATATTCACATCAAGTAAATGTTATCAGACAGAAATGTTTTCAAGTGGTCGTCTTATGTGTTATCCCGCAGGGATGCCTGGACACATGGATCGGTCCTCGCCTATCCCCTCCCGTGAGCAAAGCATAAATAGCGCCTTCTTAACTTTTTAACGTTGTGCAGTGCCCCGTCCTTTTGGAAACCTCGCTTACCGCAGCACATCTGTGCCATTCTGAAATGATCGAAAACAGACCAAGACCGTGGTGTTAATTTGAAATGATTTAATCACTCAGAGAAATCTGTATACAGTGTACGTGTTCTTTTTAATATTCAAAACTTTCCGGCCAGTTGCCCAAAGTTAAATGATAATAGCGTACGGGATATCTGCATGCAATCTAAACGCTGAAGTTTGAACTGACAACCGACTTTCTGCCATAAACTGGTAGATGTTCACGTCAACGCCCTTAATAACATGTGGACATTGGCGTAAATTTGTAAAGGAAATTGGGGGTGGGGATGGGGAAAGATTGGGCAATGACTTGCCTGGCCAGGAAAATTTACAAAGCGGGGGAGGACGGGTGACACCATAATTATGAAGTCGATGTTCATGGTATTGATGTACATCTTTAATATGTATTCAGAATGGCATATCTAAGGCTCTTTAAAACAGTTGTTCCCTCTTTGAGTGATATTTAATGCGATTTGTCGTTGGAAGTCTGAAACTCTTCGCTTTGTGGAGGAGGGGGGTGATTCAATTGCCCCCTCAAAATGTGTGTGGGGGGAACCGTACATGTAAATGCCCCCCCCCCGATTTACGCCGAAAATGCTATAGGCCTATTACAGTGTAACTTGTACACATATTCAAGTTTGTTCAATTATATATTTATTTCCTTTTTGAAGTTCCTTTTTTCTTTGTGTTTTAAATCATCAGCAAAATTTGATGTCTGTGTAACATCTGAAATGAATGCGTGGCCTCTGCCCCCAAAATGGAAACCAGAGCTTGATTCCCGATGTAAAGATGCTTGTTGTTGATCGGAAATTTGTGGTCGACGCGTGTCAGTAATTTTTCATAGATGCCGTGTGTATAAGGAAAGCGATTGTTGTCCCACAAGGCCTTGACTCATTGCAGTACAATGCCTTTATGTCGCAGGCATAACAAGCTCAGTTCAGTCAACAAGCACTCTACTCAGTGTGTGTACATGCGCAAGTACGTGCATTATGCCCGAAAAAAAAACACACACACCAAAGTGTAGCAAATTACATGTGCTGAGACACAGGTTCCATCTTGAATGATCAAGCATGGGGTTAAACAACAACAAATAAGCGATGTTACATTGTGGACTGTTGAAGTTTAAAGTTAAATTTTGCTTGTCTAACCTTTCCAATTACTGATTTTCAACAGTTGCGTTTTGTAAAACCATATCTACATGCAAAGAGAGTAATTTCTGATAACAGGTTTAAGTTTCCTTAGCAATGCTGTACTCAATGTTTCTCAGTTGTTCTACTTATGTCCTGCGGTTTGCCTTGTGTCCAGTACCACCAAGAGTTTATCCGTTCAAAGTTCAATGAAATGGCATGACGTTTATTCAGATCAATGTATGATTAATAGGCCTATACCACCGGGCAAAAGCAGGAAATGAACCCATAGCCCAACGTGGGTTAGAAAGCGAACCTACCAACATGTACTAAAACAGGCACTTAAGAAACTAACTCAGGCACATTACACCATGTAATTAAATACCTAATTGAAAGAAGGGCCCAACTCCATCCGAAACTTTTTTTAATTCGAGAGAGAAAAATTGATGTTTTTGAAGGAGTTGGGCGTTTCTTTTAATGACGTATTCAATTATTAATTGCGACCTGTTTTAATGACACTACCTCAGTTTGCTTCTTGACTATGGCTTAAGTCATTGTTAATAAACCTCTTACTTCTATACTTCCATTGCCATATTCAAAGCACAAAATGATCCGTGCGTTCGACGTGTATTTGAAGTACTAAATCTAAGACTCAGTAGAATGCCATAAATTGGAAGCTTAGGCCGACATGTGAGAAACGATCTCATAGCATTCACCATCGCATGATACATGTATTTCCCATGGCGGTGACAGTGTGATTCCCGACTGCATGTGTACCCGTTCACTATTACGCCTCTGTGCTTCAGTTGAAATTGTTGGACGCATGTCAGTGATTTTAAATAGATTCTCTTTCCCTGCCAAAGAAAAGTTTACTTTGCCCAATATGTTCTTGATATTGAAGTACGTGTATATATTGATGCATTATTGTTGCTGGGAAGTCGAAAAAATTTACTGATACCGCAACTCACCACGAAAAGGTGGAGGGCCCGACATGATTGAGTAGAACATACCCCCCAGTCAAAAGGTGGGGTGGGGGTATATTATACCAACCAGCCATCCAAATTTATGCCCGTATTTTTTCTAAAACGGTGGGTAGGTGGTAGCGTTCAGTAGCCCATGAATATATATTGAAACAAAAATTAAATTCAAGCAACAGTTTTGCCAACGGTATTCTGACCGCAGACGTGGTAGCTAAGGGCAAAGGCCCTGTCCGAAACGGGCTTCCAGAGCTACGGTTCGGTCTACTGTCTACGCGTCTCCACACATTTCCAATGGAGCGGAGACCGAGCTCGACAACAGATTTGGAAGCAGCTTTGCACCCGACAAGTTAAGTTACTTTGCACCTTTTACCATTTCGCCAAACAAAGAAGAAATCTTTCTACTGGAAAAAAAATCACTGGAAGTTAAACGTGATAATCATACATCGAGATCGGAGTGTTGAGAAATCCAAAGAAAAAACAAACAAACACAAATAACACAGAATAGAAACGAACATGGGTCTCGTTCCCCGGCCCCTTCCGCAATTGCTCAATCCACCATCGACACGGCTTATAAATATTGTCGAATGTGTGAGACCATACATGTTAAATATACAAGAAAACATTTCACGGTTCAGTGGTTTTACGCATTGCCAACGCCTTACACGACATGTATACCATTACCCGCGTTTACGCGTAATTGGTAGTGCTGCATTCATGTTACCAGTTTCGCATTTGCTACATCAGTGTCCGTTGCTACTTTATGAACGCTTTGCAGTGCTAGAAGTTGTCTTCGTTGTTTCACTGAAGCCAGCCAGATAACCGAAATTCCATTATCAGGTACTTTTTTGTCTGATTCGTTTTAGCATTTTTCATTTTATCTACATGTTGCTTTGCTGTCAGCAGTCTAACAGTTTTTAAGAAGGGCCGACAAGTAGGCCTATGTAAATTTAGAGTTTAAAGTTTAGAAGCGGTACACTCATCTACGTATATACGACACCAATCGTGTCCAACCAATACACATTTGTTTCAGGAATTGGACGGTATGCGTTAAAAAGTCTCCAACGAGTTTTCAGACAATGATTATGTAGAAGTATATAAGGCGAGAACTTTTTCAAATTAAGCTTATAGTCTTGCATGTCTGTCCGGTCCAGTAACCTCAAGGATTCCTTCGAAGTTTATTTGTGTAAAAGCAGAACCAATACCATAATCATTCTGTAAAGAATAAGTAAAGGCGACTATGTTTGCAGATCTATCTTGATTAATATATTAGATTTAACATTTATTGCAACTACATAACAATAAGCCCAGTATGATTGTAAAAGACGGGTATTTTAGCAAACGAAATTTCCCTTTTGGTATAGGAATATTGTGTTGATGTATTTTCATTGGAAAACGATATCAACTATTGGATGTCATCATTCCGTATTAATCATGTTATGCCACATGATTCCATGTAAATGCAATCTTTTGATGCACTATGGTTTACATAAACTATTAGAGGAAAGTTCCCTTCTCAGTTTTTGCCCTATTACCATACGTACCAAATTCATCTTTGCCAAATTTGGATCAAATGCATCGAACTGACCTGATTCAATACAGAAAAGGGAGTGTGAGATGTTTCGTCGAGTGATTTTCGGAAAAGTCGTTCCGAGTTGTGTTCATGACGTTAATGGCAAACACTAAGTTCTGCTGTTGTGTTTGTTTTGTGTTTTTCTGATCAATAAAACATAGAAAGAAAACAAAGTTCCACTGTTGTAATGCTCCAAACCAACTTACTTTATACACATTTCGAAGCGTAAATGAAAACTACCTACATGTACCAGTTTCCCCATATTTGGGGAGATTTGCGCAGTGGGAACCAATATACCTTTCCAAAGCCCGATTTGAATAGGCCTTTCTTCTCTTTTTCTCGTTACAGCATAATGCCCACGACAATGAATGTTTACTCATACGCTATTTCCCATCTGGGTCTGTGATATGCTTTATAGTCTGGTATCGGCCCTAAGAACTTCACGTTTGTAAAACCGTCCGCGTTAAATGCCTGACATTCAATCGTGATTGACAAAGGAAACATAGGTCATTGTAAAAAAAAGAAATGTTGGTGCGTTTTCACGAATAGCCTACTCCATTTTCGTAAGGCACCGTTCGTTTGGCGCAGAATACTTAGAAGGGAAATGCAAATATAAAAATGAATTTTTTTTAAATGTTCGACAGCAAGGAAAGCGTTGCTGGTTACTTCCCTTTAACACCATGTTCGATCGAAACTTTGTTTTGAACAAACCAGAATAAGATTTGTCTCTTTACATTATCTTACAATGCGTTATGTTAATTGCACATATTGGCTTTGAGGAATAATAGTAATAACATACACTTATAAAAAAACTATTTCGAGGCGCTAGTCGTTATTATCCCTGCATATTGGGCTCACATCATCTAAACATTCCTGAAACCATCTCAGCTCCCTGGGAAGTATACTAGCCCGATGCTGCATGCCATTTCAACACACACGGCTTAACATAACCGTGTCTGCCCTCACAGGTACCCATTTACTCCTGGGTGGAGAGAGGCACATACATATATAGAATAAAGTGACTTGCCCAAGATCACAGGTCACTTTACCCCTATGAGCCTCTCCCCACTAAGGTGGTTGCCACTTTGCATGGCGTTAAAGCGTTAACACATGCATTTTTATATGCAAGGGTACTTTAAAGCTGTTTTTTCTGTTTAAAGAAACACCAAAGTTTGCTCTTCCTTGTCACCACTTCTAACCATCTGCAGTAAAGTCAGAACAGCAATATCTAGTGTGATATACACCCTCCAATATGCACAGCATATTGAGTTGATTAACTGAATGCCTTTATGTAAGGATTCTTTTTTTTTCCCACTTCTTCTCCCAGCCGTTCTGGTTTCTCCTGGCTTTCCTTTCTCATTTCCCCAAGTGGTGACAACTTGTATACTTTTCTGTTTACAGGATGGCCAAGTTGTCCGGTCGACACGGAATGCTAGTGTTTACTGGTGGGATGGATGTCGCATTTGGTGTTGTCTTCATTCTGTTAGGAAGTGACTCTGTGAGAATCTTTTCTCATGGTGCAGTTGGAGTGCCAATGTGGGCCGGTATCGGCGTGAGTATCTCGTCAGCTGGATGATAATATTTTGATGATGATGTGCAGAATGAAGTGCGTTGTAGATGTATGGGGATAATCAGTATAACGCGCGCGTGATGACATCAGCTCTATCAGTGCCGCCATATGCCGCATTATACACCCATTAAATATGTTGCGTGATGATGTCATGTGTAAGGTGTCAGGTGTTTCATTCCCAAGATCAATTGGCTTATTTACTGCTACACCTCAACCCAATCCGCTTTATCATCAGTGGCTGAATTTCCTCTGGGCCATTTCTTGGGTTAGTAAGACCAAGATATGATAATGATGGAGTATGCTTGCACGAGTTTTGATGCTGGTGCTTTCTGCGAGCTTGTGTAAAAATGTTGACTATACGGTCTACGTTAAAAAACTGTTTCCATCTCAATATGGATTTAGATTCTTACTCTAAATAATTCCGAATTCTTGTCATTTTCTGCTGCTTTATTGGCTGAACATTTTCATGCAGCAATCTTTGTTTGGCTAACCAAAGCGGCATCCATAAATTTAAATTTAAACATGACAAATGTTTCCATGGCAATATAATTTGTTTTCAGATTATCCTAGTTGGTATCGGGAATTTTGTAACAGTTCTGACAAGCGGTAAAAAGAAGAGGACGGAGTATGTTAACGTAAGTATTGATGAATGTTTAAGTCATTACGATATGTTTTCGTCAGTTTACATGTGTGCATGCTCTATCACTAATCTATAGCATGATGAAAATGAAGTTCAGAATTTGAAAAAACCTGTCAGTCCTTGAACGTATCTCATAGTTCAGCTTCGTAATATATTTAGCAAAGCTTTTCTCCCCAAAAAAAGGGTTTTCCAAGCGCTGACGCTATTTTTTTTGCAGAAAACTGAACTTCCTTGACCTCAGCAGTGAACTTTAATCCATAGAGAAACCAGGTCTCAAAAATACTACAACAATTTCATCTCACCATTAGATCAACTTTGGTTCCTTGGTTCTGAATTTGTTGGGGATGACTCTGGCTGCCTGCCTGATTGGTTTCTATACCTGGGGAACGTGGGACGTGTTACAAATGGGCTCCAGTGACACCTTGATCCCGAACTCCACCATATCATACTCCGACGCGATTTCCATCTACGCTACTGTCCTTTTGATGGCTATCTTTGTCTTCCTTCTGAGTATGATGGTGATGTTCATGGACTGTTGTAGCTCTGTTATGTTTGGCGACGCGCCTGGATCACGAGATTACGGATTACCGGTAAGTGACATCACTGTTTCCTAATCTAATATTTCTGTAGTGCAAAATGGGACAGATTTTTAAAAAGACGTACATTGGCATCATTTTTCCAACGTTCATTTTACATCCCAGTTCGCAGCTAGCCTAAAAGTAAAGGTTGGATATCAGAGAAACTATATCTTTCTCTCCTTTCATACCTTAATTATCGCTAAAGTATATATAAATTATCATCAACCAAGATGAAAACATCAACCAAGATGATACGGAAGTCATATCAGAAAACGTTGACTAGATGGCCTTGCCAATGGCCAACATATGATAATGACTGAATAAATTTGAATACATTTGCATGTAATTTAACTTTCAGCCACCCCGGTCTCGCTCTATGTATGACGGTCCATACGGAATGCCCCCATCACATATGTACAAGCCGTAAGACCCCGCCACATCGGTGGTAAGACTTCGTGTATAACATACACGGACCCACGAGTCATCTTCAAAATGCTGTGGTCAATAAATTCATCGAGTCGGACAAAAACACAAAGCAAAAAAAAATGAAATAAAAAGATAAAAAGATAAAAACAACTGCATTGCCATTTGGTGGCAGCATCAAGTAGAACAATCCCTAATGTCACTTATACTGAATTATTGTTGAATCAAAGGAAAGGGTAAAATGTTAAAATAGTTTGATTCTGGAGTTTATCAATTTGATTGGTGTCATGCAATTTTAATTTGCCTGTATATTGCAAAGTTAACGAGTGATCATAATCTTATGCACTCAGAATATGATCTGGAAAGTAGAGGAATGTATATACCATTTTGTTATTTCAGTGCTACTGATCCCTGTGTAATATCTATTCAAACTTGGCACAATTCATAAATTGCTGACTACTTGTGTAGCATCATATAATTATTTTGTTTTCAGTTTGAGTTTTCCGATCAAAAAGGGTGTTCAGTTTGCTAACGAAGCGAGGAAAGTCAACTTGAATGCTCAGTTCGGGATGCTCCTAGCTAATTTTTTTTTACTTAAGGTGTAAAATGGGTGACAAAATTTTTAAATGATTAAGAACACATACAAGTCTTGTATAATCGCCAGTAAGTATAATAATCGCTTTATCTGAATTACTTTAAAACTATTTAAAACACTGTTTTAGACTCAGTACGAGTCCTGTGTCTATAATTCTTTGAAAAACTCCTTAATTAAGAAATACACTTTAAATTTTTAATTTTCTCCGCACGCAGGAGTCCCTAAGAAAGTGACAATTGCAAACATTTTTTTTAGAAAAACCGAAGCTTTGCAAATGGAAGGAATTCGAAACTGGCGTTTTGAATATCACATTTTTGTGGCACAGTTACCCTGTATAGCTGATCTTAATTCTTTTGTTGGATTACACCTGGCAGGAACTCTTTAAGTTCATAATTATTCTTAGCTTTACGCACATGCCATGATCTCACATTATTTTAATTTGAAGAAATTGATAATTCATTTGTGTCGATTTGTGTCAATTGAACAAGCTACTGGTTGCTCGGCTGTGGCAACGTCGTGAATTACTGGTCTCAGCGATTCATCAAAATAGTTCAAAGGATTTGTGGCAAAATAATACGAAAATCTGAAAAAAAAATAAATGTCCAATTGTAACTTTTTAATATTGCTACAAACTCTCTTATCAAACCCTGTTCTGTTGAAGCTATCCGATGACACATTGTAACAACGGGTGGTACCTTTTTTGCCCGAAATTGCCGCCCGTGGCCCCGTTTGAAGCCTGGTCATGTTTACATTGAAATGTAGAATCACAAAACAAGTTGAAGGTTCATAAATTTGGCTTTCAAAACTGTAGCTATCTATTCGAAATTAACATTGAGCGTTTTCTTATTAATGAATGCATTCCGCGATCAAACTTCCTCGTCCATGTTCCCACGACATTCTCCAGCCTTCAGTAAACACCATATTCGTTGCCTTCAAAATTACATCAACCTTGATCTGTTCTTCTGCTTTTGTCGTAATGGTAAACAGAAAGGAAAACTAAAATTGTCAAGGTTCATTTGGTGCATTGTCACGCCTACGCTTGAAAACACCCTGTGCATGTCTAGGGGTTGTGCTTGCATCTACATATGCATGTAGTCGCATTCAGCTCTTATCTACGAAAGTTTACTCGCTTACATGTACATTGAACGCCCAAAAAGAGTACCAAGGTGAATACGTCACGCGCACAATTAGAGTGTAAAAGGCATTAGCGCGAGAACCATGCGCGTGAACCAACACGCGTGCGTACTCCATTCGTTTGCACTGCACTTTCTGGTTCACAGTGACGTCACACTTCGGTACTCAATAAAGTTTTGTAAAGAAAAAATACGTAAAGACAGACTTTTTTATCCTGGCTCTGTTGTAGGCTGTGATGTGAATTGGATTTAAACATGTGACATGAACTGAGAGCCTTGGCCTTCCATTTGATCCCTCAATCTTGGTGTTGGCCAACTATAAAGGGCGTCGCAACCCGACCGCAGCTTCCACATGAGGTTACACTCACATTTGAAAGTGGAATTTATGGAACCAGCAAATTTAAAACAATAATCTGATCATGTACCTTGCCAGCCCGTGAATATAGTGGGTGAAGTGAATAGATCTGAAGGCAGTCACAACATGTATGTTTTAGAATAATTTGCCTTTGGATTTATGTCTCTACAATTTATAAATGGTTATCGATCATTACCATGACATTCCGTTAAATGGCCTTAATTCTATTTTTTTGTTTCAAAACTGGACATGCAATAAGATAGCAGCACGCTGCAGAGAATCGTATTTTTTTTTCAAGATAATGTGAGAAGATCTTTAGATCAAACTCTTAAACACGCACCGGGTAAGAGGACGAGTTTTGTATTTAAACGAACACGAAAAAGTACTTCGTTCGTCCTGCTAACGGTTCACAAAAAGATGTTTGTGTTTTTAGTTTTCTACACCAAAACCCGATCAGAACTTGCTCATCCAAATCTTCCATGACATGTCATCATCGTAAATTTTAACCTTAACGTTATAAATATGTATACATGTATTTGGCAACTGCTTGTATGAAAATAACTTCTTTGTCATACTTTCCGGCTGATTGGTAATGTAAAATAGAACGCCTTTCATATTTTCCCATCCGTGTACCAAGTTTACGTGGTTTACACAGCAGCCCTCGATGTCAAGTGGCCTCGCACGTTTTTGTGCCTCTTACAAAGACTTTCGGTTTTCAAAGGGACTTTGAATATTTTCATGGGACAGTGCACTGGCACAATCTCGCGGTTCTGACCCGGCATTCTGTCAAGACACACCTAATACGGACGCACGCTCCGCGCGCAGGTCGATTCTACTGAGTGGATACTCATCACTGCGACCACGCTCGTTTCACCTACGTGTGCTGTCCCAAAAACCACTAGGACCCACCCGGAGAAAGGACCACTTCTCGGCCATCAATTACTGATTCCCTGGCGAATTTCTGACATCCCAACAGGTATGTGTGGTCTTTCAATTTCTCTTTGAACCAAGACACAGTGGAAGTTAACCATAAGAGATGAAATCGAAATACTTGGCAGCTGTTGTATTCGACGTTTACCAATACATGTACATGTGTACTTCGAAGTGAATATGTACACAAGCACTATATTATTTGGGCATGTGGATACATGTTAAATAAATACGAAGAGATCAATACTGGATGCCACTTGACACCCTGTCCGCAAACTCCATGAAACTGGTCTGAAACACTTTTGTCTTTTTTTTTTTTAAATTATTCAATCTTTTCACTGATACATTTGACTCAGGCTTAGGACACGTTATCACTTTTTAATGACCAACAAACTTCTGGAAGGGAAAATAATAGAGTTCCATATTCGGCCTCCACTTGACAACCTGTACACAAACCCTATGAGGCTGGTCTGAAAATGTGGTTGCTTAGTAAACGACTTGGTTTTTTCCTTCCTAAATCGAACTTTTCTGTTTTTGCCTAGGGAATAATGAGTGGTGTCCATTCTTTCCATTGTACTAATTCTGTTCAACCGGCACATTGAAGGTCGAAAAGAATTTATTGGAGGAAAAAAAATTTGTGGGATTGCTCCACCCACTATGGCATATGACACGACATTGAAACACCAACTATGGAACTAGGACACACCCTATGGTGGGCCGTAGTCAGAATTTCAAAAGAGGTCATTCTATTCAATTCATTTCATTCGGAATTAGTCTGGGCACAAGTTTCCTGTATAGTTAGCATGGAAAAAACATCTTCCTGTACACGAAGTTTTCCTTGTCTGGTGTCACGTGACACACAGTCGATTCCTACTACTTTTTCATATCTCCACGCCTATTCGAGACTGAAGTAGAAGGTCGATCCATATTTGAATTGAAAAATTGCATTAGAAATGCGGTATAGACTTAAAAACATTCCAATTTTGATAAACCAAAAGACCATCAAGAATTTGGCAAAGATAGTATATACATGTATTATCCTTAAACAATCTGTAATTTATAGGGGAGTTTGGTCAAGCCCAAATTTCCTGTTATACATTGACAATTTTCCCAACTGATCACCCTTTTCTTTACAATATTCATCACTTCTCAGTTAATCTTCCTCAAATTATAATAATAATTGTGTTGTAGCTGAAACATTCTATGACCGTTAATAATTCGGTAACTGATTCTTTTTTCTCAGGATGGCTATTTCGGGGCGGCATGCGATGCTTGTGTTTACTGGGGGAGTGGATATTGCCTTTGGTGTCGTTCTGATTATCATGGGAGCTGACGCAGTCAATCGATACACTCATGGTGCAGTCGGTGTGCCCATGTGGGCCGGTATTGGGGTAAGTCAATGAAACATGTATTTTAACTGTGGGGTTAACATTCGATTGCAGCACCTTAGATGGCTTTGCATGGTAGCCATCTTGCATGGCAGTTCTTTGTTTAACTGAGAGGCCCCCACCCTGTGGAACAAAGGCACTGGCCTGCAAGATGGCTGCCACGCAAACCTTCTATTGATGATTCAAGAGACTGAAGAGGCGGGTCCGGTGTGGTCGGAAGTATTTTGGGAGGCAGCAAGCTTGAATCATGTCTGAATAGATTTACCAGCCTCATTCACTCCAAACTCTGCGTGCTTTTGTTTTAGATCATTATGGTCGGACTTGGAAACGTGGTGGCCGTCTTGACCAGTAGCAAGAAACGTAGCCGTGACTTTCTCAATGTAAGTATTTCGTGACTAATATACTTTATAAATGCTTCTATTGCCAGAGGTGATAACGCATTTAATTTCGTACAGGACTCCATAATTATCATAATTAGATTAAATATAAGGACTGCAATTGAATAGTTGCACATATTGAACAATTTGATTTTTTGTCTTTGTGAAATGAGTCTTTTGAAGTAAAACACAGTGGTAATAAGCCATGTTGGCAACAAGTCCATAGCACAGAAGCTACATCCCCCAGGCCCCCATGGCTACGCCACTGGTTCAGAGCATTGACTTAACCCCCTCCTTCCGGGAAAATGGTAAATAAAATATTCTGCAAAAAGAACAGAAGAAGTTTTTAAAAGAAACCATAGAAATTACAAATTTCCTTTAAAATACCTTGGAGTTGACTCCCTTCCACCGTGAATGGTTGTCATTTTGCTATTCACTTTAATGGCGGGTTTTTATTGCTGCCACCTTGCAGTCCGGTGCTTTTGTTCCACTGAGGGTATGCACGAAGGAGCAAAACAGTGTACATAATAAAAGCTTTACGTGATACATAGCTATCTTGGAGGGCGGTGTTTGGGTTCTACAGGTGAAATGGCCTGTAGAACAGAAACAACTGCCCTCCAAGATGGCTATCACGTAAAGCTTCTATATCTGTCTTGTTCTGTCTTGAAAAACGTCCTTACAACACCCAAGTACACGGTTGGCAAACTACAGAATGATTGTCGCTTTACAGATCAACCTGGGTGCCCTGGTACTAAACCTGACAGGAATGATCCTTGCTGCCTGCGTTATCGGTTTCTTCACTTGGGGCGCCTGGACGATCTTAGAAGCTGGTCTGACGGGTAACAGCGCAAACATGAATGACAAACTGATCTCACAATACACCACTATCATCTTAATGGCTGTAATGATCTTCATCTTGAGTCTGATGGCAATGTTCATGGATTGCTGTAGCTATGCTCTCTTTGGTAACAGTGGAGACTACTATGGGGTAAGATTTTTAAATAAAACATTCCTGAGAGACTGTTGGCATATTTGAAATCTCGTTTGACTGGTTTGCCAATTTTTCACCATTTTAATATCTACCGCAGGCCTGTTGCCTGACCAGAGACGGGGGGGCTCGTCAAGCCAAAAACTTTGGGCACTGTGAACACATATTTTTATACAAAGGCCTATCGCAATGTGCTTTGGAAAACAAGAATTGTACACTGTAGTTTTCAATATTGAACATAAAACTTAACAAAAATACATTGACTTCAAACCCTTTGAAAGACCTGAAACGTGGATATTTGGCGGAACATCCTGACGGTACATATGACTACAGATTTATTCATTAATATGCAGAATCGTGGTCACCTTGAGCTTGAGAATCGAAGTATAAGCCGTAGCTTGTATACCGAATATTACGGTCTGTTTGAAATATTCAGTACACAAAAAAGACCACCAACAAGCGGAGCTCAGTAGCAACCGGGGGGGGGGGTTCGTCGAACCTCCCCCCCCCCCAGCCGACGGGCCTGTATCGTACTACTTTGTAGTTCCAAAGCGACAAAATCTTAAGTCTGGGCCTGTTTGTTAGGTTTTATCTAATTTTCCTGTATCCTAGACACATTTGTTTTCATTTTGTGGGTATTAAGTCAATTGAGTCTAACTGCAAGTTCACCTTACGATATAACTGGATACATGTGTCAATACAATAAAGGAAGTGTTTGTAATGGGCATATTCAGGTGATCTGCACGATTAGTCGATCCTGTATGAAATCTTTAACTTAACTGCCCATTTTTGAAACAGACTTTCACAATTGAAAAAAAGACCATTAGCTGATGGTGGAATTATCGACAGATCAATAAGATCAACCATTCGCGCAGGTCAACTGATCACACGTAACATTTGTGTTTTTAACTTCTATTTAACAGCCTCCACGCCCTCGCTACTACGATGGCCCATACGGACCACCACCAGCACACATTTACAAGCCATAGAAGGATTCAAACCACACGCCATCTGACAGGTGAATTGAATTCCACTAAAGCAGCAGTATTCATTTACATATGCGATGAAATAGAGTGATTGCATTTTGTTGGATTTAGATAGACCTGTTATCAGTGAACATAAAACCTCATGTGGTGAGAGCCCCTGAAATTGTTACTGTTTGGCATTTTTCTTTCAGCTGAGCAAAACAGATGTATGCCTAAATGCTTTTAAATTTATATTTTCTCCTCAAAAGTTGGAACACCATGCATGACAGTCTTTCAACTTTCCATTTACCTGTCTTTTTCAGAAACGAAGTGAAAAGTTGTAATGTTCCTCATTATTTCTTATGCAGATTAACATGATGAAGTGTACCAAGAGCAAGGTGCTTCACTTCAACGCAGCCTCAGGATTTAAGTAACATCGACATTAAAGCATCCAGTTACTTGTGTCAGGATCATTTTAATCCCTTAATATTTTTATTGCATTTGCTCTGTAAATATTTAGCTGGAATCCTCTTGAAATACTTGTTAAATCATCATTTCTTCAATGCATGGGTTTTTCAAATATGGCCAAAAATTAACAGCTATTTTGAAAAACTTTTATGAATGTCTGAATGGAATGATGATTCTCCTGTATAACGCTACTCATAATTATGCCATTCCCGCCAAGACAGAAGTCTAGAACTTGGTTCACACAATATGAGATCAACTTCACTGGGTGTATGTCATTGGTATATCAAAACTCTAGTTAAATCCGAAGAAAGGATATTTCTGATCAAAATATCATCTTCACACGTGTGATTACTCTTAGTGTTATCGGGAATTTCCGGAACACTGATCTTTTTCATATTTTTATAACTTAGTTTTAGAATAGAGTTGTGTTTTAGGAGTGAGAAACGTATACAAATTATATACAGGTTTTATCCAAGGTACCGAGGTCAATAAAATGTACAGTAAATTTGAAACAGGACTGTGATTGACGGATTCAGTGTAAATGAGTCATCCGCAATTGACTGTCGACTTTTAAACTTAAGGAATGGTGATCATTTTTACAGGACTCCAGACAGGTTTCTATGGACTGTGATCGAAGGATACGGTGAGTGTAAGTGGTAGCTTTCACAGCGCAAACGTCGAGGTGTCTCAAGGAGCAAAAAATCGCGTATCTGAATTTCGTATACATGGACTCCAATATTTCAATCTTCCTATATGTACAGGTATTTAAAAGCAACTTTGAGATAGGCCTACAGGTGATAGAAGTTGAGATCCAGTTAAACACTTGTAATAATAGCAGAATTAAGACAAAATTCGTATTTACATGGTGAATAGTAATATTAGGTCCTTGAGTCTTTGTATGTCTCATTTTGAAATACTGCTAAATTACAAGGTTATTTGTGAAGTCCACAAACGACCTTATTATAAAAGTATTCTCCCGTAGAACGTGTAAATTTTTGGTTAATTCGTAAAACTTGTTTGGAATGGCTACGTATATTGAATTTTACTTTTGGATCGCAGAAATGGATAACCTACGGATCGACATTTCCAGCTTGATGGACCTCAAGGACCGTGGAGATTCAGTCGTTCTGTAATTCACTCCGTTCCTCCTGTTTGTCTGCGAACAAAATTTTCATGTAAATGCTAGACGTAACAGGATCAGTGTATAATATATAATGGTTTTCAAAATGACTTCTTTGTTACTTGTAGTAAGGTGACTGGTGACATACATGTATTTACTGAATGCTAAGCGAGAATACTCGACATCAAACTAGTCTAATAACATAAATTAATTAAGGCGTACCCCTTTCAGCATAGATTACAGTCGTGGGAAAATATGCCGAAGACTTTACGCATTGACACATACACCTTAAATACGTGTATTGGTGTTGGAAGAGACGAAACCGAATATATAATCCCGTAAAATAAGAAATAAAAGGGTCCTCTGAAGAAATGAAGAAAAATTGTGTAGGCCTATTTCCTCCATCCACGCGCATGCGCAGCAGCTTGTGATGTGTCAAAGTGCAGTGAACAGCTACGCCTATTTCTTTGTTATTCTTTATTTTGTATCATACTGTACTCTAGTTTTCAGATTAGAGTGTGCGCTAAAGTATGTCGGCCTGTACCAACGGTCTTGTCTACATTATTTGTGCACTCATAGAGAGGAGGTCAATGAGTCGCTACATCTCGCTGTTTGCGAGTAGCTGAGAAGTTGCAGAGAATTTTGGTTGGGCGGAACTATCTGAGATGGTTAGTTTTAATTTGCCCTTAACAATGTGTTTGCACAGTGAATGCAAAACGGTGAGCAGCATTTGAGCACTATCAACACTGTAAATACCAGCACCTAATCAGCTTTAATCGATTTATGTACACGGTTCGCAGGTTCATCAGTTTCTAGCTGTCGGCAATGATGAAAGAACCGCACAATGTTATCACGCCCCGAAGTGCAGTTACTCCACAGAGAACTAGAACTATATTAAAACGAAAACCGTCCAATTTCGTATGCATGTCTTTCGATGGCTGTCTTTCGATACATAAGTTTATCTAAATTGAAAAAGTCGTTCCCTCAATTTAGTCAGTGTTCAGTGAGTTCACAGACAGATCTGGAGCGGCGGCTGTCGTGCGCATCGGGTACTGATAAAGTCCGATTAAAACGTCATGTGCAATTCATGTGCAGCGCATACGCGCACGAGTTTGTGTTTTTTGGCCATTAATCTAAATGTTTTGTCGCAGAGCAAGTTTTTATATATAGCTCTATGAGTTACACCCACAACGTCTGTTTTCTCCGAAGCATACGCAGTTTGATTTTGGGCTATAGTCTGAGTTCGGTTTTGACTCGAGTATGCGGCTATAAACACTGAAACCACTGTAGAAACCTAAGCAACATTCTGATGAAACATTTGAAAACAAAACAGTTTTCAAGCATGTTTGAAAGTAGTGATAGTTATACGAATAAATCAATCCAAGCTCAACCGACAGTCCTCATCCTATCTGCGCAGCCATAGGTTGACTCACCTGCGCGCTTTGTTCCCAAAAGACCGTGGTTGTCTGAAATATGGGACTGGCTCATTGATCAATACATAATCATGGGCGTCGCCAGGGTTTATCCAGAGGGGATAAGCACTGTTTCCCGGGGAGGGTCAAAGGAAGGCAAAGCACTCATCAGCTAAACAAAAATAAACACCGGAAAGTTTTTTTCAAGCAAAGAGGTGATTTCATACCTTTTTGAAATATTTTTTTTATTAATATCTTGCTCTTTTCTTCATTTTCTCTTGTATGGTTTTTGTCATTCTTTTCCAAAGGAAAGCGCTTCATACAACTCCCATAATGATGATAATAGTGTGTGGTCCAACAGAGATACTTATGTCAAAAATCTAAACATATTTGTGGCCGTCTAGTCTTTGTAAACATCCTTTAGAATTTAAGGTCGTGATTTGGTTTTTGCCCCGTGGTTTCAAAATTCCGGATAATTGACAATGGCTCTGTACTTGGAATCAGCGTGGCTATTTGCCATTCAAAAAACTTGTACGGCCTCGACCGTGCTCTATGTAAAAGCACCCTTCAGTAACGAGGAGTGGCGCATGAGTGAACCACTTCAGTACATGTATTTCAAAGGCAAGGTCATTCAAGAACACAACACCTTACGTCAGGCATTTTGCACATGTTCAGCGGGTGAGATTTGGTATATACGGTTGCGCATAGAGGCCACGCCTTGTGTGCGTATTGATATTGTCGAATGACATTGTTTTGAACATGTTCTGTTGAAATACCGAACTTGTTCAATCCTTACCCAGACCACAACTTCAAAGGAAGAATGACTCCAGAATCGAGTTGTAATATTTCTGGGGACAATGAACACGAAACATAGACAAACTGAATTTGCTCGAACTTCTTTTGAGAGATGGGGCTGTCCCGTTTAATTCCCAACTGTGATGTGGTTTGGTTTCCTGATTTGAAGAAATTTATGTTAATCAAGCAAGTCTTTCTCTTTTTTTCTGCGTCAAAATATTGCTCGTTCTGGTAAATAAATCAGTTCTCAGAATAATCACCAACCAAACCTTCCACCCTCGTACCATGTACCTCTATATTTTAGTTTACAACAGAAAGTTTAAAATTAAATTCCTATTTTCATAGTATGCCTATTCAGTTAATCCTCACAATCTCTTCAAGTCATTGTGGTGTCATATATTTGCGTAATCCTAAAGTAATCCTCCAGCCAAAATTGAATTCATCACTACTTGTCATTTTATAGCGCTGGCTGCGAGACAGATTTTTAAGTGCTGTTCATTGCGAAGAACTTATTTCAAAGGGTAGGTTTTAAAAGAAGCGCACTATGTTTGCACGGTAGAAAATAGACATTGACATCTTATTGGTGTAAAATACCTGTTATAACGTCCCCAAATTTATACATGCATACATACGATTCATGTCGCGGCCATGACATGAATCAGCTTAATTATCGAAAGAAAAGGGCTGACATTTTGACAGATAAGAACAAGACTATTTAACACATACACACAGGAAACCAAAAAAGGAAATTGATACACTGCGTGATTGTACAACCAAGCCACCGGATTGACCAGAGGAAGTCAACCCTGGTCTAAGTTACACCACGTCCTGTCGTGTAACCGATTTCCCTCGAACAATGTCTTGTTTTGCTTAAACTAAAATGAAAGTGATCAGCAGCTTGCTTCTGCGTCAAACACAAACGTTATGGTACGTTTTGAGGGTGATTGTTCAATGCACAAGGAAATCGACAGATGAATATCACTGTTTTACAAAGACAACTCCTTCAGTTTTGGTAACTCTCACTCCGATGGGTTTGACAGCGATGGGTTTAACAGTAACATGTATGATCGTATTGCTGGTGGGTACACAAGCACTGGCGCAGAGACTACTGTCTTTACATGTAATATTCACCGGACCTCCAGGAGACATAGAGGAAGGCACAACAGCCCGTATGGAATGTTCGATAATAATCGCCTCTCCAAACCTCATCCTGGATCCCATCATCAACCTGCAGGTACTTCATAATGGCATTGAAATTATTAACAAAGAAAGGATAAGCGGGAGAACCACCTACCAATCGACAGAATACGACTTGACGGTGGACCGCTCTGATTTCAACACTTTCGTTGTAAATCTGGACGTCCTCGATGTTAGAAGAGACGATGCAGGAACCTACACGTGCAAGGTATCTCACCTTTTAAACCTAAATGGATCTGCAATCGCTACTGATGAAGCCACAACTCAGATCAACATAACATCAGCGGATCACCAACCATACTGTCATGTCTTAGGACGACCACTCCCAGATGAAATTCCAAGTGGAACGGTGGTTACACTCTTATGTTCTTTCAAAACGCGTGATCCAACAGTCGTCCTCAACTGGTCCCAACCAGAAGGAACCGAATTAATCTTTGAGGCCCAAATACAAAACAATGGTTATACACAGAATGAGCTAACTGTCCGTCTTTTGTTTTCATCTGACGAGGCGGACGTTGTCTTCAGGTGTGAAGTTAGAAAAGCTGACGTTCCATCATTTCGGAGCAATTGCAATGTGGGTCCTTTGAACATAGCACCAGTTATCGACACTGACATCAGTACAATGTCAGGTAGCGGTCCTCTGGCGAAAACGTCAGCGCCTGACATTTATTTTACAGAAGAAAACAATCAAGCTTCCATCACAGTTAAGCCTGGTCAGTTGCCAGGTAACGATACCAAGACATTGGCCGCAATAATTGTACTTGCAGGTCTACTTGTTATTTCCATTTTGTTCAATATCTTCAGCATAGTGCGCCGTCGAGGAACCAGGCAGCCACATACGACGCAAACAGTTTACCAAAATGGCGACTACCAAGGTCTGAACAGAGTTGAACAAAATGAAACATACACACGTTTGAATTCACCGCCCGTCAGTCTTCAGACGATCCAGAAAAAACCAGAAGCCATTGGAGCAGTTCATCAACACAGTAGCGATGAAGACTATGCTCAAGTGGAAATGTCATCCAATGGTTAAACCTAGCTGCAAAGATCGTGAAGATCCAAAATATGTGAATTATAGCAAAAGGAAACCGTAGTTTATCATAGAATAAGTTTTAATTGCTTGTATTTAACACCCTAAAGCCATAGCTTCGGCAAGTACAAAACGCTTTTGCAAAACCATCAATCTCATGATCACCTTTTAGCCTTTCGACTTACGTTTCGAGTATCTTATCACATTGTTTTAAAGATAAAAACCATTCCTGCTTTAATTGTATAGTTTTCTTTAAAAGAGTTGTGGGCCTTGACGAGAGTATTTTAATCCCAAAGATCAACTTTTTTATCGTCATTAAATAAACATTCTCCACTTTTCTGAATTTTTCACGTTCTTTGGGAGATATTCATTTATATCCTTTTTTGTTCCCGCTAAATTTAGCAAGACCAGTTTCATCAGGAACAATGGAGTCTTTATTGAAATAAGGTTGAGTAATCATTTTTACCGCATCGAACTGTAGACTGTGAACCCAAGAATGTTTGACGCGTTTATAGCATGAATACAATTAACAGTTGAACACGCAGCGCGTTTGGACATGAACGTGTTAAGTGTTCATCACCAGGACAGTAAGCGCCTATTTATAGTGGCTTAAAACGTGAATTCTATTATTTTCCGCCAATACTTTTTTGTACCGATGAGATGGAAATCTCATGTTGCAAGTGGTTAATTTAAACTGATATAACGTATAATGTATGGATGTAGCGTGGATTGTCACGTGATTATCATACCAAAAAATAAACACCACCTTTGGGCAATCCGTTCAGTTCTACTGTCCAGCGTTTAAGACACGACTAAGTACAGTACATGCGCAGTATGTACACGCACGTGCATGTGCACTGCGGTTTCCGTGTCCCCCGCATGCCTGCTGGCCGTTGAAAGTTGAAAATGTAGAAAAATCGGACTGAGTAGAGTTGCATTTATTCGTTTCGTACAAAGGTTCGTGCATATAACGTGCATTGATATTTCGGGATCTCGGATGGGTGATAATTTTTTTTTTTGAATAAGGTCTGTCTACAGTATTTCGACCATTTTTTCCAGTGTCAAGTTCTGGCAGTCGGCTTGCCACTCTTCACGTCACGTATGATTTCACGTACCAATAATGTGCAGTTAATGGACACTGCACCCTTTATAGACGTGTCAAAATGTTTAAACGTGTTACAGTCTGTACACACAAACGGGTTAATAAGTAAAAAGTGTTTAAAAACCTTACATATTTTAAACACATCCACATAACTTATTAATCATAAACATACGTTGCGTTTATAAAATGAAATAGTGTGTCCAGCATATAAACATGTCATATATGTATTTATTTATAAAAGTATCAAAATGTTTAAAGACTTTTACAGATTTGCATTTAATTTACGTTTAGAAGTTAAACCCTTGGATTTTACAATTATATGTATATGCCATAGGATTGTGAAATGTTTCTCTTTGGAAATGATCAAGGAGAACAAAACTGTGATGGTTGTATATCATGACGACTGCTAATTACTATAATGGTCATGTCACTGTAAAGATCCCAGCTATCCGTGGAAACCATAGTCAGGAAATCCTCCAGTTTCCTCATTGTTTGACCCTAAATCAATCAAGGCCAACCAGTGACTCATGGGCAAACTATGCATGTAGGCCTACATGTGCATTCCCTGAACACAAATATGTCAAAGGGAAATAAAACATTGTCGAGGCGTAAAAGAGCCAGGACTTGTCTGATACGAGACTAGATGTTTGAAACTTTACTTTCCACACAGGAAAGGTTGAAACTTTGAAGAGCTGCATATTGATAATACACGTACTGGGAAAAGCCTGATTGACGAGTAATATTTCGAAGTAAATTACTAGAAATAAACCCATTTGCATGTAGCAGGTGCGAAAGTGATGCGTGTATTTTATACCCAGCAAGATAATGGGAAGGAGGGATCCCCCCACGTCTAATCACTCTAGACTATTGTTACCTAACACGTCCCCCTAAATGTCTGTCAAGAATTCCTGATATTCCGATCAAACAATGACCAACACAAAGGTGGGGGGTGCTCTCCGTCCAATATCTTGCTCAGTTCATGATGCATTTGACTAGGTCGGGGCAGAAAGGACACTGGTCTTGGGCGGGGTTCCGTTCACGTATATCATTGATGCCACTGTCCTGTTCTAGGCTTCAAACACCCCAGCAGGGGAAAATTGAAGTTATCAGCCTATAAAGATTTTCTTGTCCTAAAAGATCCAATATCTCAGTTTTCAGAGTTCTAAACCAACCAACAAAATGCTCTTTATAACCCACGTTTGTTAATTATTAAAGGAAATTTTAATTAGTGACTTAACAATACTGATACACACATATATATTGGCCTAAATACATCAAGTTGATGAAAACTACAGTGGAATTGTTACAAATGGTGTTCGGATAGTAGCAGATGTTTGTTCTTGGAATCTGTCTAAACATCGAGTGTTTCCGTTTATTTTTTATCAGGGCTCTTTGATCGCAATGCGACAAAAGAGAACCGTCAGTGTCAACACTTGTATTTTTTCCGCGAGTCTCACTAGTCAAATACATTAATCCGTGAGGTCATTTAAGAAGTTTCCAAGGATTCCAAAAAATATCTTCCTTTTAAGTTTAGAAATTTCGTTCAGCGTTGTAATTAAATGAACAGAGCGCCTCCACTGATCTCTTTACTGTAAGGACAGGTCTCTATTTTCCTCCATAATACACACAAGTAGACTCCTTGTCACTAATATTAAATATCAATACCCTCAGTGGATACAAACGATGTACGCTCTCCACAAGTTAATAACTATGCTCACACGTCGATGCATTTGGAAACATAAGTTCAAAATTAAATATTCTTTCCAAAAATACATTGATGCTTATGCCTTGTACATTGACAAAAAGGTAATATTATAAAGTGCGTTAGAACGTAGAACTGTTTCATGATCAATTCAGATGCATAATTTACAAAGGTTTACAGGCTGTGTGTAACTGTGTAGATGACATTCTAGAACTTGTGCACAAAAAAAGCTCTGACTTTGACAAGCTAGGCTTTTTTAACAATCACCAATATTTCAAGAGACCATTAGCAAAACATACAGTTTTGAAAGCAATTAACTTTTTATCAACATGAACTGAAATTATGAAATAAAATCATCAGCGATGAAATTTGAACTCTTAAGGACCCTGAAGTATATACGAAGTGTATTCGCTTACAGTTAATTTAAAAATCAATAAAGCTAAAGGAAACAAGTACGAAGCATTTCTCGCGTGTATACATTACATAAGTATTAAGTTATCGTTTCCCTTTGTAAGACAAGTTCGAAATTAAGATAAAACAAACCTTAAAAGTACTAAGCCATAACCGATGAAGAAACTTTGTAGCAATTCGCATATTGGCAGAAATTAAGGCAATGTGACCCGTAAAGGATCGTCAAGAGGAATTACGAAATTATGAAGTACACGTACGCACAAATCGCCCAAATGTAATCATGGGTATCTCTTTGATCTGCTGTTTCCAAGAGTTTTTGCGAATGTTCCAAAAATCGATTTCTTAATGGTCGCTGGTGTGATCAATTGATCAGCTGAATCAATCGATTCAGCAAAAAATAGTTTCGAAGACTGAAACCAGACTGTAGTTTGAAGAAATCAAAGAAACATTTGAGAAGGTTGTGGCTCAGTCAGTATCGTATGCGCTGTCTCCAACACAAAAACATTATTCACATTATTATTCAGCTTTGACTAAACGAGAACATCGTGTTTTAGTTTGGACAAAAGATCGAGCTCCCTGTTGAATCTCCCCTTGCTGATTCTGTGTCGTTTGTGATGGTCAGAGAAAGGATACCATTCACAAATTGTTTGGTTGTGAATTTTAAAACCATTTGAAATGCTACACGATAAATATAAATCACTAGTATACAAACCAATATCCAATAAAAATAAAGAGAAAGTATCTACCAACATCGTAATCAAACACAATGAACCCAGTACTTTCGAATCGAAAAGCATTTTTGTTGAAGATAAAAACATCAGAAACAAACTATTCACCGAAGAAAAGTAAAACTATTCCCTTCACAAATGAACATATACATAGTGATGAGTACCGCAACTAATATGAAATGATTAAAAAGATATTTAAATGCAGTTTGGAAACGATATATACAGAGTACCATTGTATCACTCATAATAATTCAATTTGAATACATTTTTATTTATGATAAACCCAAATGAAAATTATGTGCATGTATAGTGAGCAAACTTGCTGTACATGTACAAAACTTTCCTCAGTAGCTAAAACGATTTTAAAACTTGGCTCTAACATTTCAAACAAAGTTCTGCTTTATTCGGCATAATCGTTATTCAACTTTTTTCTCTTCGTAAAACATCATCTTCGCTTCAGAAGGAGGGAAAAAATCTTTTAGAGAAACATGTCAGAGTAACAATTGTAATGTCTTAACCTGAAGATACTAAAAATCTACCTCGATGATAATGTGCATAATGTTTAGGGTGTAACAATACATAGTGATCATTTTGCAACTTCGACAGCAGTGGTAGCCTATCAATTAAAGATGCTTAGTAGTCCTCAACAATCTGAAAAACAAAAAAAATCCATCGAATGAATGCAAATTTCAAACTTTACGACAAGGAAACTCAGATCTTTGGGCTACAAGAGTCTGACACAAAACAAAAGAGAACCTTCACATCCTCCTCAAGAGTGCCTGTTTGGGTAGGCTGAATAAAGTAGTATGCGTATTTTAAAAATGAATATAAAGTGTACAAGTATTCCAAAAGGAGCCATCAGTATTCCAAAAGCTCACGCGCCAATGAAGCACGTCCGCGGTAATTCGGGAACAGCAGCACGTGCGCGCGCAGTTTACCCAACCAGCTCGGCCCTGCGCAGACTCGTGCGCGTGCTTTCTTCTCGAATGACCTCACTTTTTCAGGGTAACGAACTGGATCGTAAAAAAAATCACCACACATTGCTCACTCTGCCGTCATGCACTTCCGGAGATCTTTTTTATCATCTTTCTAGCTTTGTCCGAGAGAGGTGGGCCTATACTATCCACGGCTACGACTGCTGAACGCGGCAAGCTACTCATCGCCCCAACGCCACTGATGTTCCCATACAAGCCTACATAAAATCTATTTAGCTACGTAACCACTCTTTCAAAATCCGATTTGTTTTTTTATAAGTTGAGACTGATTCTTTAAACAAATTCTATAGGCATATTGGGAACTAGTGCGCACCTTCGTTGGCTAACGTGGATATCAGCGCCCTTCCAAAACAGCATTTCAAAAACGGCGAAAGCAATGAATTATGGGTAATGTGATCTATTACCCAGTGGGATCAAATAAGCAGTAAGCCCTTGGAAAAAAAGTTCCACAAGGCTTTCAAATGAGTTCAACAATGTTGCGATTTTTCGCTTCCTCCTGAACAAAGTCCAAGCAGCGACAATCCGAATGAGATGTTCATATTTATAGAATATTAGGCGCTTTTCCCTAACACGTGTTAGGAAGTAACTGACTGCTTTTACCAGGTGCTGCAGTGATATATCTGTTTTTTGATACAGCATAGAGTGTTTTTGTTTTTTCTCGCTCATTCTGCCTAATATGCCCTAGCCATGTTGGTCAGAAATGAAGATGTTAGTCAAAAAAGAATGTAGCTAGATTAAAATAGAATCGAATACCATGTGAGTAAACAGATGTTAGAATAGACAAGTTGTTGGATTGTGGGTTTTTTTATTGCAGTTTTTGATAAGATGTGGCTTATTGATAAAAGTTAAAAATTAACATAGCGACAATCTCCCGAATTTTGCATGGGTGTTTTGGCGTCGGTTGAAAAACGCATCTAGCGCATGTGCAAGCGGCATGATCCATGTAGATTGTGTGCTTGGTATGGATGGTTTGGGTTAAGGTGACATTACGACCTTTAACCTCTCACCTCTAGTACTTGCTGAACTGGGGGTTATCATGGCCGTACTGCTGCATTTCAATCTCTTCCTGCATAAATGACAATCAGAGCATCAGATTCGCATTCATGGCCTTTTCAGAGACACGTGATTTGTTTGTGTTTTCTTTCTGAAACACGACGCAACAAGCCATTCGCATTCTTATGTTTAAAGGTCATAACACTATTAAAACTTTCAATGTGTAATAACTAGCAAATAACAGTTTCAGACACATGAAGCCAACCCTTTAGAGTCTGGATGTGAAAGTGAAAACGTCTTTCCGTGTTTGAAATTACACGTGACAACAACTTGTTAATCTTGAACCACAGAGTAGTTTTTGCTTTATTTACGTAAATCAAGCTCAATTTTTTCTTCTCTCACAAGATCGGTGACATCACAACAAACTGCAATCCAAATGCCATACATAAGTTCATAGCTATCACCATTCATGGTATTGCAATGTGGCTCATGTGTGTACAGGAAGCGCTAGCAAACTGTTCCGGCCAATTATGAAACACGCTCAAGGCTTAAACAAGTGACAGAGATCAATAGAAACACCGACAAGCTATGTTATTTTTTCACACATTCATGTTCCAAGAAGAAAACAGTTAGTAGGAGTTGAGGATATTAACAAAATAAACGAAATGCAACTTTGTAGAGGTTAGAGGAGTGGTTATGTGTGTCTTAAGAAGATGGTGTTAGTGGTTGAAGCCTTCACCTCAAAGAAATTCAAACAGGAGCACATTTCAGGAGGAAAAACAGCCCGGTAAAATGTTAGCATGAAATAATCCGTCCACATTGGAAAAATCCTAAGAGATAGTTTTAATGATGGAACAGTTTCGACCCAAACTGACGTCCTTTTCCCCAAAATCTGACGTTGGTAAACTGTATCACTATTTGTCGAAGGACTGCATAAAATAGCCCCAAAATTAACTAACGTCCCATCTAAGCAATTGTATTGTTGGTATTAGCCCACACTTAAGGTATGAAAGAAAACACATCCCCTCGTAGACAAATTTCGACGAAATTTTACGTTAAAGAATAGAAGACGATGAGGACGAAGAGTGACTAAATGCTTTAAACGCAATACAACTTCTCTTGACACTAAACACGTCCACACACAATACCGCATTCATGGGTCCGACCAACCATGTATCTGTCCACCAATGTTTGTCTTGAATGAAAGCAGTAAAATTGAAAGAAAGCAAAACGTCCTTTTGAAACACAATTTCGCGACATAAACACGGCAAATGAAGTAAGATTCTTTCTTCCAAGGAAATGCAAACCATTAACGTATTATTTTGGTGGGTTCTCTTAGCCAAGGTTCAAACACTAAAGATCACATTTCCACTGTACAGTGCATGCGATGTAACCACCAGTGCACCTCATCCTGGATTAAGTTTTGCAAAATGTTTCAGTGGAAAGTTTGATATAGCATATCTAATGACTCTGTCGACAGTGAACCAGTTCGGTATTCCAACAGCGAAATAGCGAAAGCTCAGAACGAGGCTATTTGGGAATAACCAAGTTAAACCAAGTTGGACCAAGTTGGTTTTTTGCAGCACCGAACTGGCTCATTATTGGCATCATACTACTGAGGTATTTTACGGGTACATGAATGAACAGGTCCCAGCATGAAACCATAGATGCCGCTGCAATTATTAGACCGGTTTTGGAAGCGAGGCAAATTATATTACATAGCTGTGAACGGGTTTTTTGTATAAATGCATGGAAGATTCATCAGCAAACTCAGAAATGCGCCTTTCATTTTCTTCCTGTCACCCTGAGTCTATCTCTTTCGTAGGAAGAAAACTAATGTTACAATGACTACTTCGATATGTGGATCTTTACAGACATATGAAAGAGCAGCAATCCGGTATAATGTACATTTACATGGTTAAACCTGTCTTCTGGTTTCATTATCTGCCCCGAGTTGAAGTGCACCCCCAAGCGGGAAAAAATGACAGATAGTAGTTTTCCATGCGTGTACGCAAAGACCATACATAAAGGAATAAATTCGCTACGCGTACTTCCCGTCAAACGCACCACTGATCTCCATTATAAACGCGCGCCTATGCCGTGAATACCAAAAAAACACGCCCTCTTTTGTTCCGCTTGGAGCGGATTACCTACCTCCTCTTGTGGTTCTCCAACAGGCAGACAGCCGGCACACATCGACATCAAAGCCAAAATGGCGCACATCAAACTCATGAACCAGATGCTGATTAGGTAAGTAAAATCAGGGACGCTTCCAATGGACGAAGCTGAAGCATTATTGAGCACATCCCACGAGCCCAAAATGGCCAAACCCACAGCAGCAAGCGAGACGATCAAAGCCATCAAGTTGACGAAGAGCACCTCACATGCACCGCCCTGTAAACCGTTTACGTGTAAATTCAGTTAGTAAAGGTCAATCCTCGAATTTTATCTTTTTCAAAGGCTTCAGTTGATCTTTTATGAAGTTCTGTTTATAAATGCGCGCAGCTTTGATGATAAACGTGTATACTTGCTTGCATATCTGTCTTGAAAGCTCAGACTTGGTTCATAAAAATGGCATTCAGAGTGGTGTAAACCAGTAAGTAGAAATTGTCCAACATGTTTACACATAACATAAATTTTAGAGTTCGTTAATTGTGCATAGGTGAGGAACATAAATGAGTACAGCATACCGAGGAGACAAAGTTTACTTACACCACAGCAGTTCACGCCATATTTCCACTGAGCGATACCAAAGGTGAAGTTCCTAGCACCTAATAGAATGAGCTGAAAAAAAATAGTAAACAGTGTGGTTTGCATTAAATTATGAAGCCGCAGTCATTTGCTACAGAATACAGATGTACCTTTTTGATAAAAGGGGAATGGAGTCCAAATGTGCGGCTGAATCTGAACACACATGTGGAAATACTTCGGTGAGAATTTCTATTTCAAACGATCAAATAACCAGTTGACAGATAAAGAAAACTTGTAAACAGAAAATTTTCCAAAAATGAAATAAACTGAGGGGATCTACAGATTATCGTAACGTCGAGTCTTACCAACAAGCCACACCAATGCGGTACGGATTTCACCACGGCATTTCCTGCAGAATTTAAAACGGCACCACTAGTCGCTCCTGTTGTCCTATAAAATATTCCATCCAACATAATTCCAAAGCCGAAGGCAAACATGATGGCACCCGAGTAGGTCAGGATACATTTTTTCGTTGAATATTGCATGATGCCTTTTCAGGAAATCTCTTCACGGTCAAACTGAAACGACAAAAAAAAATCCAACTTCATCTATCAGTTTTAAGATTAAAATGCTACGAATATAACTCTCATATTCATAAATATATCTATATATGTACCTTACCGGCTGCAGGGTGTTAGATTAGGCTTCTCACGTCTATAGATTTCAAATCACACATGCTTCACCATTAACACTGCCGATGTCATCATGTACGTTTCATATTTAATGACGGCTGGTTTTAGAACTACGTACATATTTATCTATTTATAATTTTTAAGAGTACGTTTGTGGTTTTCTCGCAAGCCCGAAGAGGCAAACACTGAGTATACAGCGTGATAATGCACGCCAGGCAGGGCAAAAAAATCCTAAATTAATTAACATCTTGCCTGCGCAAATCCTTCCTTTGAATATACATGTTTATATTGTTAGATTTCATCCGAATAAATAAACGTTTGACATTCTCAGTGTCTTCCTGCAAAGTATCCCCGCGAATACAGAACACAGCACAAATACAGTTGTACATGACATTTTTCAAAAGTCCTGATTGATTTTTTCTCTATAAATAAACCAATTAGCTGTGACGAAAGAGTGGATGTATTTCCCAAAACTCGGTCATCATCTCCGAATATGGTTTTGTCTCTTGCTTTGAAAGATTCAGGCAAACTGCATTTAATATCGCAAATTTGGCTCTGCACTTTAGGACTCGTTGATAAAGTAATGAACAAGAGGCAATGATGTAGAAGCAAGAAACGTTTGTGAACCGGAAACTGACAGCGAAAGATAAGCCAAAGCTCATCAGAAAACAACTGTTAAATTTAATGCAACCAGAAGAGGATCTCCTGTTTTCCCAAACGATACTGGACAAACTTTGACCCTTCACAGCCACTGCGTAGCTCACAATCCCAAACCTACCCCTCTGTTTCGTTCTGACCCTCTCTACTTTCAAAAGACACGTCATTCCTCTAATGCACAAAAGCATGCATTTTCGCCTCAGAATTTTTGACAAAAGTATTTCGACATTTTAAGGAAGATACCTATCGGGCATTACGTCCAAATATGGGCATCTACAATACAACGTCTGGACGCGTGGTTTAACAGGTCAAACTACAAATACTTCTATTTCATTTCACTTTGGGAAGTGGGCTTTTTCCAAACCCACATCGATCATTTTGATATGTACATGTATATCCAACACAATGACAAGTTTTCCAAAAGGGCTTTTTCTGTCCGAAGGCATAGAAAGGTTGGATTCATAATTTCCACGGCGAAACACAATACGCAAGTCTACTGAATTCATTGAAATCCTTCACGCATCACAAAGAACGTGGAATGCAGAGGGAGACTGCTGAGAACCACTTTAACTGGGATACCAGCATTTGCATGCCATTTATTGAAACACACCCATCTACGTATACATAAAAAAATCTACCTTTGAATATTTATGCACCTAGAGGTAAGAGTCCGTTAAATGCCATGATAATTAGCCCATTCCTGATTTCCAACGTACTGGTTTGAAAACAAATTATCGCAACCAGGTCTTTTCATCACCTGGTTACAATCTGTCTGTAAGCCTTTAGGCCTAAACGAATGACCCGTCAGGGAATGAGTTGAAAATTCAAGTGCTCGCTTCTGCATGGGAAAACGGGAAATCTAATTGGTGGATTTTACACTCGTGATTCAGCTTAAAAAGTCGATATGTTGTTTCAGTGTTGATATGACTAATTACCTGAGCATTTAACAAAAAACATGCCAATAATGTTTTAAACAAGGACAAACAAAAGTGTTCTACTGCGTCTTAAAAACGTTGGTGCACTTAATGTGCTCATGAGGATCACATATGCAACCTAGTTCTCTGGACAAAAGCACGATAATACTTTGATGTGTTCAAGCAACCTTATCTAAATGATATGGTAGCCCTGGAGGGACATCACCAATCGTCAATATTGACGTCAATATTTGAGTCCGAATCCACGATTCACTCTTCTGTCGCGAATACTGACACCAATATTTGCGACCAAATTCACGACTCGTATCTCCAGTCGCAAATATTGCCTCGAATTTTTTCCAGCATCGTGAATATTGGCGTCAATATTTGCGACTAAAGACCAAGTCGTGAATTTGGTCGTGAATATTGACGATAAATTCGCGACCGAAGATGGTCTGAAATTCGGTCGCCAAATATTGACGTCAATATTGACGGTTGGGATGTCCCCCAGGGCCACCATCCAATAATAACCATATCGCAGCCAAAAGCTTTTATTCAAATATTTGACCTGAAGGGGTCACAATTTTTTTCCTCGGGCGAGCTTTTGAAAAGAAATATAAACATCGCTTACAATGACAGATTTGAGGGTGATTAAAAACAGAATTCTAAACACACCCAACGTACCATTCATATGGTGTAATTATGTTGTTTGTCATGATACTTAAAGCTTTCTTTGTAAGAGGGCACTTTTAAGAGAAATGGGGTGAAATGACTAGGGTTGGGTAGCCTATACCTGTACTTTCTAAATGCAAAGGAGTTAAAAATTAATTCCAAAAAAAGCGAAAACCACTACAACTTTCAAGGACCCATTTAAGGGTCAACTCGGAAAGAATTGTCTCTCATTATGGCTCATCTTTTGGAGTTATTTGACTCTTTTAGAGTAGTTTTCGCCTTTTGGGGGTGATTTTGTAAGTATGTGATTAACTTACAGGGGCGTGAAGGCAATTCGTCCCCTTGTATATTATATATACAACGCTGTATATAGTTTGGCTTAAAGGTACTACACACTGCCATTTGTTTAAATGCCTGGACCTATACCACTCCTTTAACCCAGCTGTGAACCGAAAGAATTCATTGGACGGATCTTAACAACAATATCGCGCTTATTTCACAGCAAACACAAAAGCATTTCTAAGCTAAATTTTTGTGGCCCACACTACCACAGGCTTTCAGTGTGCCGATTCAACAGCTTTCCATCAGCACTGCAGTTGATTGTCAAAGCTTCATACAAGGAAGCCAGAAACCATGAAACCTTCGGGTTAAAATATAATAGTCTGGGGTCATTTAAAAACAGAATCTGTACTTTTACCTTTCCAGAAGAACAATGGCCCATAGGAAAGGCCAAAGGTAACGGCTAACAAGCGCAAATCACACGGTGTCATGAGGAAAAAAACAAGCAAATCGTTCCTATTTTTTCTGAAACTCTGAAAATGACATAAAATGAGTCAGTAGCATAGATGGCTATGCATTGATATGTCAAATGTGTTGTGCTCATATTAAAGGAAATATTAAAATGTTATCCGATGTAAAGGTACATGTAAAAGCAAAATTAAAAAACTGCATCGATGTTGAACGCGCTCATAATAGTTCATTAGTTTTGTTGATGTGTAATTTTAGAGATCCATTATCATGGTGTGGAAAATATATCAAATATTTTAACATTTCGCTTGCGTAGAGTTAAATGTTTTCTACTATCTGGGCCAAAAACTAAAGGCTTATGCATGTCTAGCCACAAAATGGTAGATTGACACACGGCCTTGGTAGCTTTTATAATTTTATTGAGCTTTGTATCGACTGCTGCCGTAATGATAAGATAGATGAAGTGGTACTTCATCCGAACCACTGTTGATAATACCCAAGGTGAAAACTCTCAGTCGAAAAAATGGACAGATCCTTCAAACGTTTTCTTTTTCTATCCAGAACGCTAATTTGTGTATGGGTTTACGTGCGATATATTACACAGATTGACAGGTCACGCAGGGTGGAAGGTGAATATATTGTGGCTAAAAAAGAAATGACTGATATGTTTGTAGGTTTCTATTCCTATATGGACAAGGTTGAGTATACTTGATCTATAATAACCATCCCAAGTGATTACTCATACAAGTGCTAGTCATAGATCGTGCCTCTAGCAGCCAGGCATCAGACATCTTGAAATTCAGACTTAATCCCACTCCAATAAATATGGCGTAACTTGTGACATTTTAATGCTTCTGCGTGGGGTGTAAGAAGGTTAGTGTCGAATGGAAGTCCCAATGAGGTAGGCAAGGCACCCCCTGTACATGTACATGCGCGTACATGTACTGTACATGTACATGTACTGTACGTTGTACACATGTACATGTACATGTACAGTATGTGTAAAAATTCGTGTGTGTGCGTGATCAGTGAAGATGCAGGTTGACCCAGGCCATGTGGGTGACCCGTGTAGAAAGGACGCTCAATTCCACATGGACACGATAGTTGTTTGACCCCTTGTTTTGTGGATGTCAAGGCCACCAAGACGACGCCACCGTGGGAACAGGTGTGCCTGGCTTTGCGTAGGACTTAAAAAGTGAATCTTTTTTGAAGCCCAAAATGTGCGGGACGGCGGGCCTGGTCGTAACTTTTTCAAAATCAAGTATTGCCTTCATATCTCGGAAAAAATCAATAACTCGCACGAAGTATCACTCTTTGTATCATGTTCTATACCAGAAAAATGCACTAAAATTCCTATTACCCTTTAAAAGCCATCTCACAGATTTTATTTCCACTTCATAATCATTGCCCGTTTCGCAATGTCCATGAAATACGGCTAGATAATATCAAAAGGCTGTAATTATCAAACGACAGCACTGTGGGTAGTCTTTGATGCGGAATCGGCTTTAAATTTTCACCAACAATTCTTAATAGACTCAGTACAAACGTGTAACAAAGAGTACCCCTTTATTTGCCATACCACCCACTGTAGGCACCCTTTGTGAACCATCATTTTCACGAGGCTGGTAATCTTTTCCTCTTTTTTCTGGGAGTGGGGCTGATCTACGCCGCAATGCCTTGTCTTGGAAAATTTGTGTCATTACTACGAGTCATAGAAACTCTTTTGCATCGAAATCACCCACCATTGCTTGAATTATGAGGCACCACACCCAACTGCCCCAAACCAAATGTACAACAATTGCGTTCAGACTGCTGACGCAATGTACACAGTACGTGTAGGCTTACAAGTACATATACATTGTCATTGCATGGGCACTGTTTACATTACTTTTGTGTTTTGAGGATTTTACAAAGGGAATTCTACAAGCTCGAGTGAAGGCTGGGTGATGAACGCACCAAACAAATCTAAAATACATGCACCTACACATGAAATTCAAAGAACTGCATGCATGACTCCTACTTGCAGGATATCTTGACACCAAGACTGACAACTTCTGGACATTTAACTTAATCATACAACGTGACGTCCACCTATTTCGCTGACAACCAGATGCAATTGTCACTACAGAAGTAACTCTGCACACAAGAATGTCTCAAGGTTGCAGGCTATTTTCACCGATATTCACACTGAAAACAATTAGAGCACAGCAGACGTGAATCTCTACAAATGCGCGCACTCAAGCAAAACAACATTAGAACGACTAAGTTAACTATCTGTACGCGTCTTTCAGATAACACAAATTTGTTTGAAAACTACATGTACGTGTTTTACGAAGAAACTTAACCCCCTCGCAATTTATTTTCAAATTTGAATTCTTCCAATCATTTATCAAGCCCATACTCTAATCAGGTCTTTCTCTGGCGCCCGCTAATTTCAACAAAAGACTTAACTGAGAATCCCATCTGACTGCAGTGACCATCATGTACAAAATACATTATAGGATTTAAAGCGCCTTATGCCAATCGAACAGTGCATCCATTTACAAGTACATAATGCTGGGGTTAGCGTGAAGTCAGTAATTACCAAACCATAACTCGGATTGATGTGCCATGTACAGAGACGATGTATGTAAATGCATTAACTCTAATAAAGCAGGGTTGAGCTTAGCGCAGTCAGAAATCACTGAACCATTAATCGAATCATGACGAACATGTTTACACATGGAGGTACATTGAAAACAACGGGTTCAAGAGACTGCAAATAGTACACTGCCCAAAAGGCCAACAAGTTTCTTTTTATATCCTTGTTTTCTCCACAAGGAAATACTGACGCATGATGGCGTTAGAAACAAATGATAAGATCGACGGAAAAGGGCACTTTAACCGGCTGGTAGTGGTTAAAGTTATAAACCTTGCAACATTCTAAAAAAAATCTACATCTGAAATACAGTTGAAATATTGCTTAAACACAAATGTTAAAAGATATGGCAGAGCCTCTTCCCTTATTAAACCAAGATTTCCTTCCCAGAAAACTTATTCAATGAATGAATCTATATTCAATATAATACTCTGTTTGGAGTTCTGCAAAATAATGGTACCGTCTCCGTGTGGCCTCTTTTCTTTGACCTCGGTCAGATGTGTACATGTACCAGCAATGTGTTATTGTTCTATTTTGTGTCACTTCCGACATATGTTTGTCACGTCTCACACAGGTTTCAAAAAGTCTCTCTTTCACAAACATATTTTAGTCTTCAGTGATTCCACAAAAACAAACACAAGAACACTCGAAACTTTCCTAACATCAATATAAAGTCCTGTATTATTATAGAATAAAATCTTTTCCTTTTCT